TTTGGAGGAAGCTCAGCATTTCATGCTTTACTCCAATATTTTTAAGAATAATGTTGCCAGCCGCATATAGAATTAAGTGTGAATCACATTATGTGAGGACTGATGCTATTCCTATATTAGCTAAACAAGGATTTGAGTGTAAGCCTTAAGATTTTTAGATTTTAGCATTGGATAGGCGCAATGAACTTTTGAAATTCCGCTTACAAGAATAAGGTATATTCAGTATTGACTTTTGTCTTTGGCAGATATATGGGCTCAAAACACTTGTGAAAAGCTTCTTGCCTCGTCATGGTCAAGTCGTAAGGAAAATCGATGACTTGCTAAACATTTTAAAGAAAACATTAAGATCACAAGCACACGAAGGCATAAAATCATGGTATGTTCTTTTGGATAGCTATGCAAATCAATCATGTTGTAGAGGCTCTTAACACAAGGCCACAAGTTTTATGAGCTTTCACAATGCCATTATCACTTTCTCTTGGTACAGTCCTCATCCTTGTTGACTTCTCATATGATAGAAGGTGTTTATTTGCTCTTGAAATTTGTAGCGAGGACACGGGGGCTAATGTAAGAATGGCTGCTGCTAAAGCTGTTCTATTGCTTTCAAGGAAATGGGACCTTCATATTTCTCCCGAAATTTTCCGTCTTACCATTTTGATGGCAAAGGTAAAGTAACTTCCATCTTGCACAACAACCAAACAATTTTAAAAACATTCTTGAATATTATCCTAATAAATTCAAGGGGATAATTTCAAGTGTTTATATTCAAATTTGTCTTCGCTAAGTGATGGTAAGTCATGAGTCAATTGTTACAGTGGCTACATACCGCATCCTGCATTTTTGTCACTTATGAGAGTATCTATACTTGCAGTTGTTTATGGGAAGTATCCAAAAGTAGCTCTAAGTGTATAGGCTTGGGTGTTTGGTAATTTATTTCTGAAGAAAAGGTTTTTATAGTAGTGTAACCTTGTAAGGGCAGTTTAATTGTTTCTTTTGATTTCATGTACTGGATATTGTGCTTAGGAATTTGAATTTGCGTGGTTCATGATTGTCTTTTTTGACCGTTTTCCTTTTTCATCTGCCAGGATTCTAATGCCTTTATTACCAAGAATTTTCTCACCAAATTGCACAAGCTATTAACCGAACATATGATACCCAGTAGATATGCATGTGCGTTTTCGTTTTCTTTGTCTAGTCCATGCAGAGATCTGCAAAACGATGTAACTTTCTTATACTCCTCACTCTAAGAAGAAAATTTTCCGTTATTTTAACCTTTCTGGGTTCTCTGAGAAATTTCCTGTATTTTTGTTCAGTCATTTGGATACATCAGTGGATTCATCAACAATGCTACAAGACAATCTCGAGCATATCAGGATTTAGATCAAGGAGAATCACTCACTGATAGTCCAGCTTACATGATAGTGTTCCTAATTCATGTTCTTGCACATGACCCCGATTTCCCTTCAGAAGACTGCAGGGATGAGATTGTCTATGCTCGCTTTTGTGGGTAATTGCTATATTCTTAATATTGTTGGTGGTTTGTTTCATTATGAATTTTTGTTCTTACTTATTCTCTTTGGCAGCCCTCTGTTCTCGGTCTTACAGGTGTTACTTAGTATCAACAATAATGGCTTTATTATCAAGGACACCGTCCCTTTCTTGTTTTGTATCTTCCGTGCAATTAAAAGAGCTGAGGATGCTGTTGATTCTCATAAAACGCCTGTAAGTGTGGCGTGATAGCACTGAATAACACAGATGCTTCTTTCTCATTCATAGCTTAATATAATTATGCTTTGAACTGCAGAGGCTGCACATTCTAGCTGATATTGGTCACTCAGCTGTCAACATATTAAATAGTATTGTGATCACTTCTCCACAAGCTCCACGGTCAATTTTACTGCCATCATCGTTCTACAGCCTCACTAGCATAATGGATAACCAGGCAAGTCCTGCATTGTGTCAATACCGCTCTACTTGTGACATTAACAAACATTTTATGATTTTGTGAATGCACTCCACAGAAAAAGGCCAAGTCTCGTACCCAAAATGCTTTGGAACAAAGTTTCATTGAAAGAATAGTTCATACATTCCAATCACAGATCTCCCAGGTCTATCCACGCTGCTATATTTCTCTATTCTTCTAACATCTTGCCTGTTTAGCTTATGCTATGCTAGCTTTCTTCCTGATCCTGTTTCTGCCTACTTGAAAGTTTTCCAAGCATGATCGGAGGTGTCAAGAAGGTAGCCTAGCAGTTGGTTCGGAAGATAAAGTCCTACCTCCATTATTGGGCAATCAAATTGAAACCTCAATTACGGGTTCAACTGAAGCCAGCAAAAACAATATGAGATGTAGCAGCAGGAAACGAACTCATCTAGGAGAACATATTTCTTATAACTCCTTATCTTTGAGAACTGTTGAGTCTGAAATTCCTATAAAGAAGCTAGAAAGACACAGTACTTGTTCCAAGGAGAGTGTCGAAGCAAGTGAAAGCAATAAAATTACATCTTCCAAACACTCGGGGGTAGTCTCTGCTTTAAAGGTAAATACATTAATATATGCTAGATCTTTATATTACTATCCATATTTTCCTGTGATACCAGTTAATAATTGTCACAGGATATAAGCAACCACGGCGAAGCAATAATTGGGCAGCGGATTAAATTACTCTCTCCCACAGATGGATGGTAGACATTTCTTATACTCTACCAAATATATGCTAGAGCTTCTGTAATCGTTTTTTTTGTTTTTTTTTTATATCTTTTTTTCCAGTTTCTATCCGGGCACTGTTGAAAAGTTTAATTCTAAAAGCAACTCTCACAAGGTATGTATGTGACTTCGAAGTGCTCATTCTGTTTCTTTCTTTGATAAATTTTGATCCATTCGTCCCCATGAGTACCTTAATTCAGTAAGAAACTATTGATCAAATGCTACACTTATATTCAGTGCAGATCTATGGCAGATGATGAGATGATTGACAAGTCTTATCGCCTTGTCATTTTATTGTCCTTTGTGCTATTTCCGGATGACATTGCATTCATGTAGACTTTGAACTTGCTCTATTGAGTTCCTTTGGTTGAAACTCCATAGTATGAAGGCATCATTAGTATTTTTCTTTCAAATAACGATTTGGTTCTTTGTGCTGGTTATGTTCGAAGTTGGTCATATAGAACTCGAAAAGTGTACATTTTCCTTTGGCCCTTTCTCTGCCTTTTTCCTGCTGCACTCTATGTCATGGCTTCTTTTGCTTTGTTGCAGATTATTTTCGATAATGGGGATGTTGAATTGGTTTGCTTGGATAGCGAGAGCTGGGAGACCCTGAGCCATGAATCCTTGGGGCAACAGGTAAATGAAAAGTTTTATGTTTATTCCATGTATCAAGTGCTATACCATCTTGGAACCCATGAACGCGACACCAGTACAATAGGTAACATCTTTGTTTAAATTTTGTTATTCAGGAAATATTGGGAAAGGAGACGGAATCTTTTGGTTCTCGGAATTGGTAAGATCAACCAACTTTCTTTGAATGGCTGAATCTTTTATTGCATTAAGCAACTTATATGATTGAGGGTTCTTGTGTTCCTTTCTCCGGATATCATTGAATTTCTTGTTAACGCTAATTTCCGTGTCATCTTCAATGATCTTGCGAAAATACTTTGTTTCTGCAGCGTCCCTGAAATTACTCGTACACTAGCAAAGACTAATACCCAAAAGCAGAAAACAACATCAAAGCAGCAGAATAAAAAGTTGCCTACCAAATTGAATCCCGCAGCTGGTAATTTTTTTTCAAACTTGTCAATTATGCTTTGCCTTTTCTTAAGGCTACTTCAGTAGTCGACTTGAGATATTTGGCCAATTAGTGCCTGAGTCCATCTGGTCGAAGCATGCATAAACACATGAGTCGTCCTTTGATTACAGTTATCTTTTACAATGAACGAATCTCCATAGTATGGAGAACTTTCTCTCCTCACAAGTGAATAGAAATTTCAAATTTGTTCACATTTTTTTATATGCCAAAACATTTTATGATGGATTTGAAATCTAACCAAGATTCATCCTTGTTTCGTGATGTCAGCAAACTCAAAGAGAGGAAAATTGGTTTCTGGAGAAGGATCAGTTTCAGAAGTCACCTACACTAGTGACAATATTGTAAGCCTCCTCTCTCTTTTTTCAAAATTGGTTATAAGAGAAATCCTTGCTTCTCTCTTTTTAGTGATGCTGATAGGATTCGCAATGATCATAATTCTAAATCAGAAATCAGAATGCTGTTTGATTAGAAAAAAGCTCTGAATGTTATTAGCTCAATTTGCAGGGACTCAGAAGAAGTCGGAGACAGAGAACTTCTTAAGAATCATGACCCCCTCTAACAAACGGAGTTCCTTAATATGTTCGTAACCACCTGGTACAAAATAATTAACGAGTTCATTTTCTAGAGCTAAAAGTTATGATGACACACCCACAAAAAAAAAAGAGAGAAATAACACGTATTTTGTTCTTTTTCTTTTTCTCGACTTTAAATTAATCAACTGGCAGGTCAATGTAAGTTTCAAACTTATCAAAACGCAACCAACATCTTCCTAATTCCCCAAAAATTCAATTTCGTGTTTAATAGGAAGTTTTATTAAAACTGAGAGAGAAGAGAAGACCACGTAATTCGGTTTAAAATGCAGTTAGATTGGTTGTAAAATTAGGTAAGGAGATTGACCTAATTGAGCATTTTGTGCAATGAGATTTGGCGCACCAACTGGAAGAGGTTATTTGCATGGCCGTTGTCAGATTTGACCTTAACACATCCTACGGTCCAGATCATCTGATTATCCTGCCACGTGTGTGGATTTATTTTTATTTTCCTCCCTTAAATTATTTCAAAAACTATTTTGTTTTCTTCTATAATTCTTCGTTTCGTCTTTCCGCCTCCACAGTCCTCTCGACGTCTCCGCTAAAAGACCATTATACCCTTCACTATTCTCTGTCCTCCTCCTCCTCCTCCTCTAAATTGGAGCCTCGCTCTCGCTGCTCTTTTATTTATTACTATATATATTTTTATATAAATTAATTGTTGATTCTTCTCGACGACGACGTCTTCTCCGGTTTCGTTTTGCTTCGATCACGGTATATTCCATTTTCCCCTCCTCCTTCTGCTTCACATTCCCGATTACGTTCTTGCTTGTGTCATGGAAGTGTGTTGATCTCTCCTTTCAATGCTTGATTACTTTGTTCTATATTCGCTTTTTTCTCTCTCAGATCTTTTGAAAGTTTAACTCGATTTTGTCGCGGATCAAGCGAAATGTAATACACTTAGTTCTCGAGAGAGAGTTCTACTTAACGAATGTGATTTACTTGAGTCTATTTCGTGTAGCTCTTCTTCTGTAATAAAGCTATCGCGTGTATTCTATAGAGTTAATTTTTAGTGAAACTGATTATGTTAATAATGTTGTTCAATCGTGATGAAGTTTTGGTTGCAGGAGACGGTGTTCATTAGCCATATATTTCTTTGTTTGGTGGGATTAGTGGAAGATGATTCCTTATGCAGCTGGTGTTATTGTGCCTTTGGCTTTAACGCTTCTGGTTCAGAAATCTAAGAAAGAAAAGAAAAGAGGTGTTGTTGTTGATGTTGGTGGTGAACCAGGTTATTCCATTAGGAATCACAGGTTTACTGATCCTGTTAGTTCCCATTGGGAAGATATCTCCACGCTTCCCGAGCTCTTTGAGCTTTCCTGTAAAGCTCACAGCGATAGGTCTTTCCTTGGCACACGGAAGCTGATCTCTAAAGAGATTGAGACTAGCGAGGATGGAAAAACATTTGAGAAACTTCATTTGGGCGACTATGAGTGGCTCACTTTTGCCAAGACCCTCGAAGCAGTGTGTAATTTCGCCTCTGGGCTGGTTCAGATTGGACACAAGACGGAAGAACGTGTCGCCATTTTTGCTGATACTAGAGAAGAGTGGTTCATTTCCCTACAGGTGATTCCCATTTTATATAACCGCTGCCTTAAATTCGAATGCACTGTTAGTACAGTTGTGACATTTCTTTGTGATTCAATGTTTCAGGGTTGCTTCAGGCGCAATGTCACTGTGGTAACTATCTATTCATCTTTGGGAGAGGAAGCTCTTTGTCACTCGCTGAATGAGGTACCCCTCACTTCTCTTCTCTGCTTTCTCTCTAACTATGGTGTCTTATATGCATGTGTCTATGTTCTGTGGTTGTTTTATGTCCTAATTATTTCTGGTACGGTATGATTATGATATTTGCATAGGGTGGAGTGAGCGTTATGTTATCCTGTGGTTAATTATTTTTTCAAATTTCTGTAGGCTTTCCTTTTCTTATGTTCATGATCCCCTTTCTTTTACTTTCCAGACAGAGGTCACAACTGTAATATGTGGTAACAAAGAACTGAAAAAGCTCATGGACATAGGCCACCAGCTTGAAACTGTGAAACGTGTGATATGTATGGATGATGAGTTCCCATCTGATGTGAACAGTAATTGGATGGCGACTTCATTTGCTGATGTTCAGAAACTTGGGCGGGAAAACCCTGTGGACCCTAATTTTCCCCTCTCAGCAGATGTTGCTGTTATAATGTACACCAGTGGAAGCACTGGACTTCCCAAGGTTAGAAGGTTTTCGAACCAGTTTACTTCTACATCTGTTGTTTCAGAATATGATTTTTGTCTATGGGTCTGAAAATTGTCCTATCAGTTATTTGTAATTCGTTGTGCAAAAACTTACCCCATCTGATTTTCTCTCTTCCCAAATTGTGTAGGGTGTTATGATGACCCATGGTAATGTCCTAGCTACAGTTTCAGCAGTGATGACAATTGTTCCAGACCTTGGAAAGAGGGATACGTACATGGCATATTTACCTTTGGCTCACATCCTTGAGTTAGCAGCTGAGGTATCTCCGAACTTTATTGTCCAATGATTTATTCAGCAGTTCCACTTTCAGAGAATCTCAATACGCCTGATACTATTGTTGTAGAGCGTAATGGCTACTATTGGGAGTGCTATTGGATATGGGTCTCCCTTGACGCTTACGGATACTTCAAACAAGATAAAAAAAGGTACCAAAGGAGATGTCACCGCACTAAAGCCCACTATAATGACAGCTGTTCCAGCCATTCTTGATCGTGTTCGGGATGGTGTCCGCAAAAAGGTTCGTGCTTGTTAAAAACACATCAAAATTCTTTTGCTCTCCTAGTTGTTTAGATAATACCAACCATCTCCCAGCAACCAAGATGCGCTAAATTGTCTCCATCCTCTTGTGAGTATAACCTTATAATTAAATAACCACTGACTATTTATGATCATCAGGTTGACGCGAAGGGGGGATTTTCAAAAAAATTGTTTGACTTTGCATATGCTCGGCGATTATCTGCAATCAATGGAAGTTGGTTTGGAGCCTGGGGATTGGAAAAGCTTTTATGGGATCTGCTTGTTTTCAGTAAAATCCGTGCAGTCTTGGGAGGTCAAATCCGCTATTTGCTCTCTGGTGGTGCCCCTCTTTCGGGTGACACTCAGAGATTCATTAACATATGCGTTGGGTAAAAGCATCCTTGAATATCTCTTTGAGGCACCCTGATCTTCAATTTAGGGTGGCCATGTTTATATTTCTGTTTCTTTGCCGTTTATATGATCTAACACTCTGATATTCCTCAGGGCTCCAATCGGTCAGGGATATGGGCTCACAGAGACTTGTGCTGGTGGAACCTTCTCTGAGTTCGATGACACATCCGTTGGCCGTGTGGGTGCTCCACTTCCTTGCTCCTTTGTAAAGGTAACCTCTTTACCTGATATGTCCACTCTTAATGCTTTGTTAGCTTTTAATCCTTTATCAATTTGTATGTCGTATTCTCTTAGGATCATATGCTTTAATCTTGTTTCAGCTAGTAGACTGGCCGGAAGGCGGGTATCTAACCAATGACAAGCCGATGCCCCGTGGTGAAATCGTAATTGGTGGCTCAAATATCACGCTTGGGTATTTCAAAAATGAGGATAAAACTGAAGAAGTGTACAAGGTGGGCAAGTCAACATTATTGGTTTTGGCAATGTTAGAGAATAGGTTGGTTTGGCTTTTCTTCTAACTGTTTTATACACTTGAATGTTTAAAGGTTGATGAAAAGGGGATGAGGTGGTTCTATACAGGAGACATAGGGCGATTTCACCCTGATGGCTGCCTTGAGATAATAGACCGAAAAAAGGATATTGTTAAACTTCAGCATGGAGAATATGTCTCCTTAGGCAAAGTATAGTCTTCTCAAAACCAACAGTTGTCTTTTACTTCTTCTTTCACTCAATTCTCCAGATAAGCTTATTAACAGACTTTGTTTCTGCAGGTGGAAGCTGCTCTCAGTATAAGCCCCTATGTTGAAAACATAATGGTTCATGCTGATTCATTCTACAGTTACTGTGTGGCCCTTGTGGTCGCATCCCAACATACGCTTGAAGGTTGGGCTTCAAAGCAAGGAATAGACTTCGCCAACTTTGAAGAACTGTGCACGAAAGAACAAGCCGTGAAAGAAGTGTATGCGTCTCTTGTGAAGGTATGTTCATTGCTACGTGTTCACCCAAGCGATTTTGAGCCCCCAGAAAGTTCCTTATAATATAAATATATGTGTTTGCAGTCGGCTAAACAATCGAGATTGGAGAAGTTTGAGATACCAGCAAAGATCAAACTGTTGGCATCTCCATGGACGCCAGAGTCAGGCTTAGTGACAGCAGCACTAAAGCTTAAAAGAGATGTAATTAGGAGGGAATTCTCTGAAGATCTCACCAAGTTATATGCCTAAACTTTTATCCTCTCTCTACTTTGTTTGTGTTTTTTTTTCTTTGGTGCCCAACGCATTCGAAAGACACAACAGAGGAACAACAAAACTTAGTTCCAAGAGTATCTCCTTTCTCTTAGATGTCTGTGTGTCTTATTGCGTCTCAACAACAATATTTTAGGCTTTGGGACTAAAGTCTATATACAACTGAATGGGCCTCTCTATCAAACCAGATTATAATTAATCTGTCATTAAACCAATACTTATACACGGATACATTCATACACCGTATTATTTTAGGTTTAAGTTTTTTTGGGACTCGAGATAAAACGACAAGAAGAAAGAGACTATTAATTGAAATTTGAAGTGAAAAGAAAGTAATCGTACCCAACAACAAACAATTAAGAAATGATAAATTGAAGAGTGGAGTTAAATAAATGATTCGAGATTACAATTAGTGTATAAAAAATTTACTTAAAAAAAAAAGTGTAAAAAAAGAAACGTAGGAAGCCGAAGGGATTCAAAGGAAAGGAGAGTGAGTGAGAGGAGCAATCTGAACCGTCGGATAAATTGTGTATCTCAGTGTCAGTGAGAGAGAAAGAGAGAAGAGAACTCAATGACCAGCGTCAGCGAGACGCGTGAGAGACAGAGTCCCATTAATATTATTCTAATAAGAAAAAATATTTTTCCGTTTACTACAAAACATCCTTAAATTCAAAAGCTGCTTTTTCTAAATTCGTTAATTAATTTCCCTAAATTATTGTCAATAATGTGTATTCACGGGCGGGAATTATTGTAGCAACTATAGCAAGTTTTGTTAGGTTTTTATTGATGTCGTCAACACTCAACACAACAATTCTACTTACGTTTTACTATTTCTTTACATTTTTATTATTCATACTATGCATTACAAAATAATTTGAATTCCTATATATGAAAGAAAGAAAAAAAAGCTGAAAAGTTTTTAGACCACCTCCAAAGGGAGGTTCAAGGTGAGTCTCTAAACTATAATTTCATTAAAATTAAATCAAAATTCATTAATTTTTTAGAAAACGCTCCTTAACTAACAGACTTAAGTAATGGGTGCTAAACATACGTGGTATGAAATTATTGGCTTTTGCAAAAAAAAACTTTTTTCCTCTCTCTTTCTCTCTCCTCTCTCGGCACTCTCTCTTTCTATGTTTCTTTTCTTTCTTTATTTTTTTTTCTTTTATTTGATTACAATTTATTAATAAAATATTTTTATGCACTTTTTATACAGGTTCAGGGTTGGAGATGCCCTTAGATTTTAATGTTTGAGTTCACAACTCCACATACAGAGGATCACATGGCTCTCTCTCTCTCTCTATTTTTTGAATTAAAGAAGAAAAATGGTTTTCAAATGTTAGAAAATTAAATATAGCAAAAAAACAAGATAAAGAGAATTTTATATATCTCTCTCTCTCTCTCTCTCTCCCTTGTCGCTGTTAATAATCGTAATAGTGTTTCCAGACAGTAGAAGAAGAAGAAGAAGAGAAAAGCTTTCTTCTTTGTTTGTTTTAATCACTGATTTTTGTTTCCATTGGGGCATTTTCGGATCTCAAAGTTCTTCAGACATCAGACAAAAGGTATTAAATTCATTTGCTCTGTCTCTCTCTCTTCAATATTCTCTACCTCTGTTTCGTATTTCAGCTCTCCTCAAACCACCTTTGTGTTTTCTCAGATGGACCAAAGTTTGGATTTTTATCTAACCTCAACCTGTTTGTATTTTTTTGTTTCTGGAGTTTTGTTTCAAGACTTACTTAAGCACTGTTGTATTACCTTTCTTAGCTATTTGACTCTCTTTGATTTGATAGATTTCAAACTCATTGTTCCATCTTGAAAATGAATGAAGCATTTGAGTTTAAAGTTTTAAGCTTTCTACTTTGTCTTGTAGCTTTCTTAAACGTCTGTTTTTTTTTTTTTGGATTGTGGAAACGGACATTTGGAACCAACAAATGCACATTTGTTACGATAAAGACAAAATCATTTTTGTAATAGTTTGTGTGTTTAATGATTGGGTTATTCAAGATTTTTCTCTTATCTTGCATGTTTGGTGATTGGTCTGAGTTTTCTTCATCTTTAAGTTTGTTCTTCTTTGACAATGTTTATGGAACTTTCTGTATTTTAAAGAATCCAATGTCTGTGCTCTCTCTCTTTTTCAGATCCTGAGACTAGTATTATGTGCTGATTCAATACTGTTGTGATCTTGGGAACCAGACATGGAGAAACGGGAGAAAGAATCATCTGAGAGAAGCTTTAGTGAATCAGAGTCAGTGTCTTCATTATCAGAGAAAGATTCTGAGATTCAGGTACGATAAGCATAGAACTTGGTTTTTTCGTTTGGATGTTATGTTCTCTTGTATCTAAAAGATTATTATGATGACTGTTTTTTTTTAATAAAGCCTGAGAGCACAATGGAGTCTAATGATAATGAGATACAATCATCAACGGTTTCTTTGGAAGTAGAAACTGGAAATGGAGATTTGAAAGATAGCATAAGGACTTTATCGGAGAAACTTTCAGCGGCTCTTGCTAATGTGAGTGCTAAAGATGATCTGGTGAAGCAGCATGTCAAAGTCGCCGAAGAAGCTGTTGCTGGTATAAATCTTTTTTTATTTTCTCCTGCATTTTGATTATGAATCTGTGAGTAGTTTATATAGTGAAAATATGCTATTGTGAAGGGTGGGAGAAAGCGGAGAATGAAGTGGTTGAGTTGAAGGAGAAGCTTGAGGCTGCTGATGATAAGAACAGAGTGTTGGAAGATAGAGTAAGCCATCTTGATGGAGCTTTAAAGGAGTGTGTTAGACAGTTAAGGCAAGCAAGAGATGAACAAGAGCACATAATTCAGGACGCTGTAATCGAGCGAACCCAGGAGTTGCAGTCGTCTAAAACCAGCCTTCAGAACCAGATTCTTGAAGCTGCAACCAAGTCTGAGGAGCTTAGCCAAATGGCCGAATCTGTTGCCAAAGAAAACGTTGTGCTGAGACACGAGCTTCTTGCGCGATGCGAAGAGCTAGAGATCAGAACCATTGAGAGGGATTTGAGCACCCAGGCAGCTGAAACCGCCAGCAAGCAGCAGTTAGATAGCATAAAGAAAGTGGCGAAACTCGAGGCTGAGTGCAGGAAGCTTAGGATGTTGGCTAAATCATCAGCTTCGTTTAACGATCTTCGGTCTACAGATAGTCATTCAGATGGAGGGGAAAAAATGGATGTAAGTTGCTCTGACTCATGGGCTTCATCCACATTGATTGAAAAGAGAAGCCTGCAAGGAACTACCTCTTCCATTGAACTTGATCTCATGGGTGATTTTCTTGAGATGGAACGTCTTGTAGCATTGCCCGAGACACCAGATGGGAGCGGTAAGAGTGGACCTGAATCTGTAACAGAAGAGGTTGTTGTTCAATCAGAGAATCCATTGGCTGCTGAGATAGAAGTATTGACTTCTCGAAATAAGGAACTTGAAGAGAAAGTGAAGAAGTTAGAAGCAGAGAAAAGTGAGCTCGAAAGTGAAATTAGATGTAACAGAGAAGAGGCTGTTGCTCACGTAGAGAATATGTTGGCTGGTGAAGTACAAGTATTGACTTCTCGAACTAAGGAACTTGAAGAGAAATTGGAGAAGATAGAAGCAGAGAAAAACGAGCTCGAAACTGAAATGAAAAATAACAGAGAAGAGGCTGTTGCTCACTTAGAGAACTCGTTGGCCGCTGAAATAGAAGTATTGAGTAGCCGAATTAAGCAACTTGAAGAGAAGTTAGAGAAGTTGGAAGCAGAGAAAGATGAGCTCAAAAGTGAAATTAAATGTAACAAAGAAGTGGAGGCTAAATTGAGAATTGAGCTCGAAGCTATTGCTTGTGATAAAATGGAGCTGGATGATAAGTTGGAGAAGATGGAGGTTGAAAAAGCTGAGCTGCAAATATCTTTTGATATCATCAAAGATAAATATAAAGAATCTCAAGTTTGTCTGCAAGAAATTGAGACGAAGCTGGAGGAGATACAAACGGAGATGAAACTGGTTAACGAGCTAAAAGCAGAAGTTGAATCTCAAATCATCGCCATGGAATCAGAGGTAAATACTAAAAGCGCGAAGATCGAATCATTGGAAGAAGACATGAGAAAAGAGAGGTTTGCTTCTGATGAGCTTAGGAGAAAATGTGAGGTTCTGGAAGAAGAGGTCTCTCTTTATCAAGAGAACGCCATCAAGAGTGAAAATTTAGAACCCAAGATCAAACAGGTCTGTCTCTAAACTTTAGCTCTGTATCCCATCACTATCCTTTTTTCCCCCACTAAAACTTGATTATATTATATTGTAGGAAGACATTGAAACAGCTGCAGGGAAACTAGCGAATTGTCAGAAAACAATAGCTTCATTAGGGAAACAACTGCAATCTCTTGCAACACTTGAAGATTTCTTAACTGATACACCGAGTATTCCAATGGCTGCAAATGGTGTATGCAGCAGCAGCAACTCAGATGGTTGGAAGGTTAACAAGAACGACACTTTCATGATGAGTAATTATCCCGAGTCCATCACACCTACCAAAGAAACATCAACTTTCTCTTCTTCCCCAGCTGCTGTTGTTTCAGTGCCAGTGTCATCAAACCGAGGGAGTTCTGAGAAGAATCGAAATGGATTTGCAACGGTATTTACAAGAAGTAAAGATGGGATACATCTAGCGATCTAGCATAACTTTGGCAGTAGGCAGAGAGACTATCTCTTAGGTTTTAACAGCACTTGGTTCCTCTTTCCAGATTTTGAATTCTTGGCAGTTTAAAAGATCATCTCTCTAGTGCATGCAGGGGATGTTCCATAAACAATGTTTCTAAAGATTTCAAATTTCTTTAGTGTTGGTTCTAGTAAGTTTCTATGTGATGTTGTTATGAATCATGACTATGTAAGGCTATAAAGAAGAGAAGTAGGATCAAAGACCAGGCATAAAGAGATAAATCTTGGTAAGGTATTCGACTTGAATCCCCTAGGACATAAAATGGCAATAGATCAAACATGAAACAAAGACGTTTAATCAATACAAAAAATAAATTGTTTCTGAAAACTCCCAAATATTCTTGACTGGTACAACAAAAAGTTGTGATTGTTATGATCAAATTTGCAAGTGTTTCAAAAGACCCTCTACTTGCACTCGATCTCTCCTGGCTTTGGCTTTAGCTTTCTTTGCATTACGTTTAGCCGTCAAAACTTGGGCCATCATCATCCTCAAAAGCTCCGGTCGATCTCTGACGAAATATTCATGTTGAAACTGCAATTTTCCAGGCCCTTTAACTCTGTTAAAGCCATGAGAAGAAAGCCTGGAGTAAAACTTTGAGAAGTTAATGCCAAATTCTAAAGATGTAGGCAGAATCTTTCTGCAAAACTCTCCCACGTTCCAGATAATGAAACCGTTGTTGCTTCCGCTCCACGAGACGATTGAATCCAGTGAAGGATCATCAACGATCTGATACACCCTGGTGTAGAACGAAGGCAATCCCCTTTGAAAATTGTGAACCATTCTTCAAGTTACAAATTGATTGAGATGGTTTCCCAGATTCAACAAGATAGAGGCAGCACTATTTATATAGATGACCTATTTTCTATAATATCAATTGACGGTCCAGATATCATCTTCATTTAACTTTCAGCGGTCAGGATTTAAAATTACAAACTTTCCTTTTTCTCTTTTGTTTCCTTTTTTCCAATAATCTGGATGTCAGTGTATAAATAGTTAAATTTCAGATATAAAGCATCCGAGGTTCTATGGTGTAGTGGTTAGCACTCTGGACTTTGAATCCAGCGACCTGGGTTCGACTCCCGGTAGGACCTCTTCTCTTTCACTTTTTTTTTTGTTTTTAGATGTTTTTAAAATTCCTTTGGAAAAATTAACCCTATCACTCCCACTTGTCTTGGTGTTCTGTCGCCGAACCCAGCTTAAACCCCTAAGAAAATCTTGAGAGAGAGAGAGAGAGAGCGCGAAGGAGAATGAGCAAAATCGAGAGCTTCGACGATTTCGTCAAGGTACATGGAATCCTATTGGCGGCTTCGGGTTTGCCGCCGAAACTTTACCCTCGCCTCTTTGATAAGCTTGCTTCCGATACTTTAGATGGCGGCGCTTTCTTCCAAATCGAATCCTGCGATGATGATAGGCGACGGAGGCTTCTCCTCACTTCCGATTCTATGCCTAAAGATTCTGACGTCTTCCTTGTCGATCACGCCTGGACTTTTCGCCTTCCCGATGCCTACAAGCAGGTAACGCCACTCTCACTCTTACACAATTTTGAACGTCTTTGAAAGAAGCTAAATTTTGGATTGCATAAAACAAGGAGAAGTTACAAGTTCGTTTTCGCAAGCTTGAAGTTTATCTCTTTTTACATCGTAGCTGTTCTAAGAGTCTAATTCACTTCACCTTCTGTTCTTTTGTTTATTTCAGCTTAAGGAAATTCCGGGATTGGCTGAGAGGATGGCTTCTTTGATGAGTGTTGACATTGATGTAGAGGCTGGAGAAGAAGAAGTCGCAGAGGAACTCTCTGTTGATCAGATTATAGACAATGAAATCCTTTATGCAGCAGATAAAGGATATGACTCTCTAAGATGGTTGGAGTTGGAGGGCCTTGGAATTGTTGATGACTCATTCCTGTCCCTACATTTGCCTAGTAAATTTCAGGCATGTCTCTAGGTCTTTCTTCTCCTTGAGTACATTCATGCTGGACTTTAGCTCAGATGTTTTTCTTAATAATTTATGATCCGTGAATTCTTCAAATGCTTAATTCTAAAGCTTCTTCGTTGTGTTGCCTCCAATGTTTTGGTAGGATTTAGTGGCCCTTAGTCTTATCGGGAACAAAATCGAGAGTGAGGATGTGGTTATACAAGAAGTTATGAAGTTTAAGAATCTGAAGGCTTTGTGGCTTAATGACAATCCTCTTCTGCAGAAGAGGTAAACATGCATTTACAAAACATAGGGATGTGTGGGGATATTGTAGGTTTCTCATTTATTTTATATGCTTTTCAGTGAACATCAGATGGCTGAAAAAATACTGCAAGGCTGTCCGTGTCTTGAAATCTACAACTCGTGTTTTACCCCTAATTATGGATTATGGGCACTTGGTTTCTGTGGAGATATATTTGGGAAGGATAACCCTGGTTCTGTTCAGCAGGACAAACCCTTGTGCAATGTCACCTCACTTGACCTTTCAAACCGGTCAATACACAATCTAGTCAACAAGGTCAGTTTTTTCCACTTTACTTTCTTTAGAGAGGCAGAGACGAACGCATTGACTGAATAAACAACAAGCATTGACGAACCTTTATGTTTTCATATTGTATCCTATTAAGCTCTATGTATTTAAGTATCTGATTTGTCTGCCTTTATTTTCAGGCATTTCATGTGCACGAGATGCCATTACTATCACATTTAAATATGCGTGGAAACCCATTAGATCAGAATTCGGTTGGAGAACTACTTGAAGTCTTGCAGCTCTTCCCTTCACTGTCTTCCTTAGAAGTAATTGCTGGAAGTTGTCCTTACGTTTTCAGATACAAATTGAGGTTACCGTACAATGTTAACTAAAATATATTTATGCAGAGATGTGCTGACATGCTATATCCTTTTTGTAGGTTGACATACCTGGACCTCTTGGAAGTAATGCTTTAGAGATTCTTGAAGCTCTCCCAAACCTTTCTTTGTTAAATGGCGTTGATACCGCTAAAATATTCGAAAATGGAAAGCTTGTTGTTGACGCCATGCTTCAACCACGCATTCCTGAGCTGAATCCTGAGGATACTCTTGTTGACCGTGTTCTTGGTGCAATGTGGTTATATGCGATGAATTATCGCCTTGCTGATGAGGAAAAGCTTGATGAAACTTCTTTATGGTATGCAATGTTTCTCTTATTTTTGCTATATTAGACTTAGTGCAGTGGCTTTGTTTGACATAATAAACTGCTGTTTATGTTTATAATTTAAAGGATCATAACATGTTTGATTTTAAATAGATAAAGTAAAGAAATCCATGATGGAATTTAAAGCAAGATTTATTTAACGATATTTTTGACTATTTTATTCCAACCACTGAAAACTGTAGGAGTTACCACTTGTATGTATCGGAATGGCCATTTTCACTTTTGAAGTGTATTCTCACCCCTAATCCCAGCATTTGTTTCTCAAGTCTTCTTTAATTATATTGGGAGAGGTCTCTTTTGTGTGTTTATAATTTCTATACTACTGGGAATGAACATTTGATGCTAGCCTACATCTTAAATGGTTAGAATTAAGAGTCTATGGACAGTCTTGTCTATAGTTCTTAGGCACTTAATTTTTGGATGTTGATTGACTTTGAGTGGCGCAATGGTATCACTTTTGCAGGTATGTGATGGATGAATTGGGTTCAGCTTTGAGGCATAGTGATGAACCCAATTTCAAAGTAGCACCCTTCCTTTTCATGCCTTCTGGGAAATTAGAGTCTGCTGTGAGGTAGAAATTTTATAATTTTTCCTATACTGCTCCATGTACATCTTAAATTCAATTCCTGTCTGCTATTGACACGTATTATGTTGATATAGTTTAAAAGTGTAATGTGAATTGACATGCACTTCTTGATCAGGGATCACATGTCATGTATGCAAATATATCCGACAATTTTACTTTTTATGCCAAGCTCATGTTTATTTGGTTTTCTATGTTCCAGCTATTCAGTAATGTGGCCTATAAAAAATTCTCAAAAAGGTGATGAGTGCACTCGTGATTTTCTAGCTGGTATTGGAGAGGACAAACAGCGGTCTGCCAGGCTCACAGCCTGGTTTCAAACTCCTGAGAACTATTTTATTCATGTACTTACTCGGTGTCCACTCTAGCTTTCTGTTCATTAACAGACTTCCTGTTCTCTCATTTCCTACCAAGATTATTGATAATTGACTGATTCCCTGTTATTGATTTCCTAGGAATTTGAGAAATACCAACAAAAACTGCAGGCTAAAGGGTTTGATTCATTACCTTCCAGCCCATCAATTTCCCGAAGCATACGGCATAGTGATGGGTCTCCTTTGTTGGTATACACGGATCTACCTCAAGTTGAAGAGTTTCTGACACGCCCTGAATTTGTGATCAGTATGTGATTTGATTCATATTTTCATGATATATTCTTATTTCTCATATAGGATGGATATGCTAAGCATTTCTAAGAACTCCGTATAGGATGCATAAACAATGCAACTTTTGATCTACCACAACTTTTTAATTATCTTTTGTTTTATAAACTGTGGAAAATTCAGTTGAACATTGGATTTCATGCATTAGACGATTCAAGGTTTTTCTTTGTGTTTCCTGAGTTGTATCACCTGCCTGCTTGCAGCAAATGAACCAAAAGATGCAGACATATTATGGACGAGTGTACAGGTGGATGACGAGCTCAAAAAAGAGGTGGGAATAACAGATGACCAATACATAAATCAGTTTCCCTTTGAGGCTTGTCTTGTCATGAAGCATCATCTTGCAGAGACTATTCAAATGGTAAATTCAGCCGATTATGTCCTTAGATTATAACACCCTTCGGAAAAAAAATCTCAAAACTTTATGTTTTGCTTTACAGGGTTATGGATCTCCAAAATGGTTGCAGCCTACTTATAATCTTGAAACACAATTGTCCCAGTTTATTGGGGACTATTGTGCCCGGAAACGTGATCAACTGAACAATCTGTGGATCTTGAAACCATGGAACATGGCACGGACAATCGACACAAGTATAACCAATAATTTATCTGCTATCATCCGCATGATGGAAACTGGTCCCAAGATCTGCCAGAAGTACATAGAGCATCCTGCTCTGTTCAAGGGAAAGAAGTTTGATCTGCGATATGTTGTCCTAGTGCGAAGTATTGACCCGTTGGAGATTTACCTAACAGAGATATTTTGGGTAATGCTTTATTTATTTCTCCATCACAACTGGTAGAAACGATTATTTATTCAATTTGGATAAACAACATATGGACCATCCCTATTTGTTTGATTTCAGGTTAGGCTATCTAACAACCCATATTCATTGGAAAAGCACAGTTTCTTTGAATATGAAACTCACTTCACCGTCATGGTATTTCTTAAGAACACTCTTTTCACATAATGATTCAGTTCTGATAAAGATTGTAGCATCCTATCTAACAAAAACTCACGTTTTTCCAATGTCCATTCTCTTATGCATTTGCAGAACTATGGTGGTCGGAAGTTAAATCACAAGCCCACAGCAGAGTTTGTGAGAGAATTTGAACAGGAACATAATGGTATACACGGCATTTGTGTTTCCTTCCTTTATATCTTTATGTAGTTCATTATACCAATAACAGAATTCAACTGTCAATAGTTAAATGGATGAATATCCATGAGAAGGTGAAGCAAGTGATACGGGCAGTGTTTGAGGCGGCAGCTCTCACGCATCCAGAGATGCAATCCCCCAAATCTAGAGCCATATATGGAGTAGATGTAATGCTTGATAGCTCATTCGAGCCAAAAATCTTGGAGGTTTGTCACTAAAATGACACGACATATAATTGTTTGCTTCTGGGGAAAATGCAAGTTCTCTTATTAATGATTGTGTATGGATGTACACAGGTTACATACTGTCCTGATTGCATGCGGGCTTGCAAATACGACATGGAAACCATAGATGGAAAAGGCATTGTTAAAGGTGGAGATTTCTTTAATTATGTATTTGGGTGCCTCTTCTTAGACGAGACTGCGCACGTAACTCCCTTGTAAGCTCAATAGCAAGAGAAGAGGGATGATTTAGTTCAATACTAGAATTGTTGTTTATTTATAAAACATATCTTTTGCATGCAAGTTGTGCATCATGAGAGATTGAGAGTTAGTTTTGTTTTATTAGCTACATTGTTGAAAATTGATTTCCTAATGTACGTTTTTTGCATATTGCTTTACCTTTTTGTATTATTTTATCATAGAATAATTTAGCAAAAAATGCTACCTTTTGTTGATCCCACCCATACACCTGTATAGAGAAACAAACAAAAATTTTGTGTGGGAGTTGTTCCGAGTATCAAATACCCAAACACCGGCCCATTAAAAGGCCCAATTAAACAATGGGAGGAATCAGATTTAAAAACTAATAATAATCAATCCTTGGACTTGTCAGACGGCGAAGATGACGAGGGAGGCACCGAAGATAGAGTGGAACGAGGGGAAAGGGAGATTCGAGACGGAGGATCACGAAGCATACATAGAATACAAGATGAGAAACAAGGGTAAAGTGATGGATCTGGTTCACACGTACGTTCCTTCTTCCAAACGAGGATTAGGCTTAGCTTCTCATCTCTGCGTCGCTGCTTTCGAACACGCCTCCTCTCACTCCTTCTCCGTCATCCCTTCCTGCTCCTATGTTTCGGTACGCTAATTTTCTTTACAAAAACAAAATTAATCTAGTCGCAAATTCTGGATTCTTGAGTCTTGTATGTGTGTGATTGGATTTTGCAGGAAACGTTTCTTCCTCGGAACCAGTCATGGAAGCCTCTAGTTCATTCAGAGGATCTCAAGTCTAGCATCTGAACTACACTCCTTCTTTCTCCTTGTCCTCTGTTATAAGACTGTAATATTTTATAAGTAAATGACTCTAAAATAATCGTTGATTGGTTTTTACCTTGAAACATCTTGTAATCAAAACCAAAGCGACTGGATTTATCTTTATGAATCCTAAAGCTTTCACTTATCGCAATTCGAGTTTACTTTTTGGTTTATTCAAGAAAATCAAGATTACAGTAAGATTGATTATTCGATTGCCGTATACAAATTTAGAAGGAACATGATCCTTACTAAAAAAACACTATAATTTGTTGTCGGAAAAGGAAAAGAAGAAGAAAGCGTTAGACGCAATGTTTCAATTGCAAACTTCAATAAACAGAACACACCATTGTTTCATACTTTATTACTTATCAGTTATCACATGCACTCCGTAATCACATGAACACACCACACTTTCATACTATTATTATTGCACAAATATAGATAACACATCCCTTAATTTACCAAGCATGCACCAAACCAAATCATTGTATTGTTATCGTAAATGCCAAAATCTTATTTGTGGAATTCGATAACAGAGTATGAATAAGCAAGATCACATGTGATTTCACATCGAACAAAACCTGAGGCAAGCGCCAAAGTCTCGAACTGCGAAAGAGATCTCTCTTTACCACCCGAGCATTGTGTTAGCATCAGCAAGTCCATGCCGAATACAGTGTTAGATGAAAAATCATTACGCTTTGGTTCCATTGGTGTGATCATCTCTAGGATGATCACTTTCCCTTTTTCTGGTAGACTCTTCCAACAATTTTTCAGAATTTTTATGCAACGCTCGTCCGGCCAATCATGTAGTATCCACTGTCGTTAATTTAACCATTTTTATTTCAAAAATAAAATACTCTATCCGTATATTCTTCCAATATATATATATTTGTAAACTTACTTTCATAAAGATGGCATCTCCCCTTGGAACTTCTATAAACATGTCTCCGGAGACATGCTCGACTCCTATATCATTAGTGTAGTTAAACAAAACAATAGGTACAACACCATATTAGTTAATAAGACTAGTAACACATCAAATATATATATATATAGTAAGTAGTTTTGTACCTGGATAAAAAGGAGCGTGAGTTAAAACCTGAGCTAAGTCGAAATTAACACCCTTGATATGAGGATACGTGGAAGTGATTATACCTAGTATGGTGCCAACTCCTCCTCCTACATCCACTAAAGTGTTAACATCTTCAAATCCTCTGTATACTTGTAGAACTTTATTTATGACTATTGTGGACGATTCCGCCATTGCCCGGCTGAATAGCTCAGCGAACTGTCCATCCAAATTAATATATTCGAAAATTTTCATGCCGTGGGCAGAGCTGAATGCATCTTTTCCTTCTAGGATCACATCCTTGAGATTTGTCCTATGAAAGTTTTTGTAAAAAAAAAGTACTGTTCAATTACGTTAAGTTAAAAAAAAAAAAAAGAATTTACGTTTAAGTTCATGTATTTTTTTTTTTTTGTAATTTGGTTTGATTAGTTGGTTTATAACAGGTTTCATGCTATTAACGATCAAGTACTGATTTAAATTATTTTTGCAGATAGTAGAAGCACTTACCAAGTCTTGAAAATGACTTGGCTATGGAGCAAAAAGAACAAAGACGAGAGAGAACCAGAGCCGTCACTATCTTTCAAGAAAAACTTGCAAATTGGTTCGGCTGCATATACCCTCTCGAACTTTCCGGCTTGACCATTTTCTTTGTTTTCAACCATACCGCACTTCAAAATCGAGTGGCTGGCGAGTAAGCGCAGCATCCGGTCCAGCAACGTGGGCGCCTCCGGGTTAGTGGGTTTGGTTGGGAGACTAGCTGCTATCTCTGACGGTGAGAGCCATGTGCCTTTTCTTGCAGCAGCGATCGTGTCAATGACACCAAGCTCCAAGGCAGCTTTGAGAACCATGGGGAAAGCCACAGTGTTGACGATACTCTCGGCTTGCAAGCTCACCGTTTTCTCGTCCAGTTCTTGTTCTTCTTTGGTTAAAACCGAGGGCTCTTGAAGATGGTTTGTCATAACTGTTGTTGGTTGAAAGATTGAAGAAGATAGTGTAGAGTTTGGTTGGAGAGTGTGGTTCTAACACTCACCTGACTTGGTGCGGCCATATTTTTATATAGAGAAACCTGAAACCAAGTTGATCGACTTTGACCAGTACTGACCCATGATTATGTCTAAAATTTTATATTATAATAAACGGAGATGGACGAAAGGATAAGACTAGTTCATGTAGTTGGTTCGCCATTTTTCTTGTTATTATTGTTGAGAATACATAAATAGATATATAACAAAGGTTTGAGTTTCACACTCGATACTTGCACGGTGCCATGCATTAAGACGCGTGTTGTCTAATGCAGACGCGTCGACCCTCTTATTATTTCTTACACCAGAAACAAAAATTGATGGTAAACGGAACCGGAGTTTAATTATATAGTCTAATATATATGTATTTGTATAGAGTTTCACTACACCTTGCCATAATATATGTTTGAACATATACGGAGTATGGTAACGATTGTACGTGACATAATTGTTGTTGGTTGGAAGATTAAAGAAGGATAGATACGGTAGATTTTGATTGGAAACTATATTGTGGTTTTACTTAGGGATAAAAAAAATTGTATGATTAAAGTAATTACTATTTAGTGACATTACTTTTTCCAAAGAAAAAAAAAAAGCAGTATTACTAAACACGACGTAAGTGTAATATACATAATTAATTAGTTGTATAGTTCACCCGCTAGTCGAATTCCAAACAGAAAGGTCATCATAGAATATATAATATGGAATGAATAGATGTTTAGTCATTCTCTTTAATTATTTAATTCCAAAAGAAGAATTATTAAATTTTTAAAGTAGGGAATGTTTAAATTAATTACATGACACCATCTCCATTACATGTTATGTTATAGGAAAATATATATATCAGGTATTCAGGTGATTCGAGAGGATCCTTCAGTCCACCTAAAACCACGTGAATCAGGAGGATCTTACTTTTTTCCTCCATCCGGGAACTCATTTTACTGATGAAACCACCCACTTATGATTGTTTTTTTGTTTTTTAATTGTACCAAAACAAACAAATGATTGATCGTGAGACTATAACTGCTATCTCAATCAGTGAGAGCCATATCTTTTCATCAACAATTAGGATCCCACCACACTTACAATATGAAAAAAAAAAAAAAAAACCTAGATATGAATCATCTATTGTTTTTGAATTGAAATTCCCATAATTGAAAGCTTTAAAAAATAGCTTAAGAGTCTAGTTTGTTTAGTTTATATTATTAGTTGTCCGTCTTAGTGTAGGATTAAGTTTGAAATATACCGATGATTAAAAACCATTATCACAAAGTTTTAAGTGTTAATTACGTCATTAATCTAATCTGGATGACACTAAAAGGTGAAGAGGAAGCTTTTGAGAAACATTGTAACTACGCAGTGGTTAATATTGCCGGATTAGAAGCAGTTGTTAAGGAGTTTGTGAAGATTAGTTTTGCCATTAATTGTTCTCTTATTCGTTGTGATTAAATATCCATATAGCAAATTGCACAAGTACACTCACACACTTTCACACTTATCACAATTATTACACTTACGTTGGTACTAAACAATCACTGCGATCTTCAAGTAGAATTATTTTAAGCATCCCCGTAATTTCACATGCACCAAACCAGTCATCATTGTATTATTTTCGTACAAATCAAATTCCAAGATCTTATTTGTGGAATTCGATAACAGAATATGATGAGGCAAGACGGCAAACGTATTCACATCGAACGAAACCTGACGCAAATGCCAAACTCTCGAACTGCAAAAGAGATCTCTCTTTACCACCGGAGCACTGAGTTAACATCAACAAGTCCATGGCAAACACAGTGTTGGAGAATAAGTCACCACTCTTTGGTTCTGTTGGTGTAGTCATCTCCACGATTATCACTTTCCCTTTTTCTGCTGGTAGACTCTTCCAACAATTTTTCAGAATCTTTACACAATCCTCGTCCGTCCAATCATGTAGTATCCACTGTCAATCATTTTAACCATTTTATTTTGGAAATACATATATATATATATAAACTAATTTATATATTCTTCAAAATATATTTGTAAACTTACTTTCATAAAGATGGCATCTCCCTTTGGAACCTCTATAAACATGTCTCCGGAGACATGCTCGACTCCTACAATTATTAAACAATACAAAAGGTTTAAGAGGAGTAGTTATTGAAACAAAACAATATGAAGAAGTAGCATGTTGTCTAACAAGTAATATTAGTATTAAGTAGTTTATTTGTACCTGGATAAAAAGGAGCATGGGTTAAAACCTGAGCTAAGTCGAAATTAACACCTTTGATATGAGGATACTTGGACGTGACTAAACCTAAAACGGTTCCATTTCCTCCTCCAACATCAACCAAAGTATTAACATCTTCAAATCCTCTGTAAACTTCAAGAACATTCTTCATGATCATGGTGGAAGGTTTCGACATAGCACAATGAAACATCTCCGCGAATTGTTCATCCGAGTTAATGTATTCAAATAGTCTCAAGCCGTGGGCAGAGCTGAATGCATCGCTTCCTTCGAGTATCACATCCTTAAGATTTGTCCTGTGAAGACAAAATCTCCACTTGTTCATTTATCATATACGTTTATAATAGAACGTTAGTTTTTCTTTGTGTAAGTTGGTTATAATCATATCAACTTTGTTTAATGTAATTGACTCGTATCACTTACCAAGTCTTGAAAAACACTTGGCTGTGGAATAATAAGAACAGAGACGAGAGAGAACCAGAGCCGTCTTCACTACCTTTCAAGAAAAAATTGCAAACCGGTTCGGCTGCATATTCTCTATTGATCTTCCCGGTTCGACCATTTTCTCTGGCTTCAACCATACGACACTTGAAGATCGAGTGGCTGACCAGTAAGCGCAGCATCCGGTCCAGCAACACCGGCGCCTCCGGGTTGGTGGGTTTGGTTGGGAGACGAACCACGATCTCAGATGGTGAGAGCCATGCGCCGTTGCCTGCAGCAGCGATTGTGTCGATGACACCAAGCTCCAAGGCGGCTTTGAGAACCATAGGGAAGGCCACGGTGTTGACGATGCTCTCCGCTTGCAAACTCACCATCTTCTCGTCCACTTCTTGTTCTTCTTTGGTTAAAACCGGTTTAGAGTTAGTGGTTAAGGGATCTTGAAGGTGGTTGGTCATTATTGTTGATCGGCGTACGTTGGTTAGCGAGATTACGAAAGAAGAGTTTTAAGTTTCGAAGAGTGTGGTGTTGAACATTCATGATTAGTGCCATATTTTTATAATGAAACAACCTGAACCCAAGTGGACGTACGGGGTTTGGTTTCTCCTTTGGATATTGCCAAATGAGTCTTATCAAGACTAAGAGGCTAGTATTTTATTTGCCTTCGAGATTCATGAAATACCTAATGGAAGCTTCATCATGGATTGTGGGGACGATTTATGGTTTATACTCTTCCACTGCGATTACAGTTCTGTTTGAATTTTGTGAACCCTTCAAATTAAATAAACTATATATGATTTTTTTCATACTCAACATTATATATATCAGCTGTGTAGATAGATTTATTGCCAGAGATTTTTTAAAAATCTTTTAAGATATATTATATTATATGTATTTTAAGTTTAAATATAGATATACTATATGTATTAATGTTAATGAACAATAAAAACACAAATACATGCTTTATGATTTTCGCACTAATTAGTGAATCCGTTTTTTTTTTTCCATTTTTACTGTATGTATATTGTTATTATTATATTAACATTTCCAAAATTTACACTTTAGATGATAGTATGGTTTGCCTACTAGTCTACTACATGCAAAAGAAAATTCAAACAATAATCTAAATATAAAACAAACATGCATGATAATACACGTTTGAACCAATATCAAATGACTGGTCGGTACGAAGTGCGAACTACCGAACAATCATATTTCAGTTTCATTAAGAACAAAAATGAGAATTAGTTACATGTATCAGTTTTGGTGTATCCAATATATATATACAATATATATATTTCCGTGACGAATTTAATTATAGATTAAGAACGTATATAGTGAATTTATATTTATTAATTAGAAAAAAGCTGCAGAAATATGGAGTGCGTAAGCAAAATTAGTCGAAAAACTTTTTAATAATAAGAAATCGTATGAGTTGATAAGTCATTTTCATAAATCTGAGGTTTGAAGTGGTTTCCTAGTTAATTTTCTACCACCATATGCTCTCGGCCGTTTGATAAACGTATACACAAGTCATTCTCTCACTGAAACACTAACAACAGTCTTAACAGTCTAAAGTAATTCATCATACAGTGTTTTGGAAAACCGTATCATATAACAAAAAGTAACATACGAAAGATCATCAGCGTGAGTGTTAATTAATAAATTCATTAATCACCTCACCTGCACCGTATTATATAAAACAGTGCTGTATTAATAAAATATTTTGGGTCCACGAAACCACGTGAATCAGGCTTATCACTTTTGAAGATCAGCCCACCAGAGCCTAATTTTTGTTTGGGCAAACAAAAACATTTAGGTGTATATATTTGTCCTTCTTGTGCCCACAAGAGCCTAATTATTGTCTTGTTTTTACTCTAAATGTGAATTTGGTGTGGAGAAAATGGAGTTATATATAGTTGTCCTTTCTCTTTTAAAATTAATCTGTCGTTTGTTAATTGGTTATTGTTATGTAGGGATCTCGTTGTATATATTGCGATCATCATTTCTGAATTGTCATGTCATATGATTTTGGTTTAAAGTTGTAGCCGAACTGGTGTAATATATTTTAGTACATCGTATCTCAGCTACGTCATACCAAATCTCGAGGTTAGTTTAATATAAACTTCAAAGGGAAGAAACACTCGAAACTTAGCACATTTTTAAAATCGAAAGTAACATTTTGAAGCGATACAATATTTTACCTGTTCGTATTACTCCAACAAGAAAAAGGAAACAAAAAAAAAAAGAAAAGAAAACAGATTTGTGATATTTAGATGAATATTAGCAGCAAACAAAAAAACAAACTCAGTCAGCGAAGGTATGGGAAGAAAATAGCCAGGGATAAAGAAAAAGAACACTGAGAAATCCTTGACCTTGTCGGTATATAGATCCCAGTGTCGTCTTTGGCTCTGTAGGAACCTCCATTGTTGAAGGTGAGGGAGAAATTAGGGATTGAAGACGAATGGGTTCGTTTGTACCTTTGTATAATGTAGCGGGAAAATGTTATTAGCAAAGCAAACTGAACGCTAACCGTTTAAGATCATCCGGTTAGGGAATTGATTTAGAGCGCGCGTAACAGACTGTTAGACGTCACTATCATTTGATTGATTTGATGTATCACACCCTCCCTAAACCGCTAAAAACGAAATCGATTAGAAAAGGAAAACCGGAGCCTAGTTAGAATCTTTGAGGTTTTTGTATCCCAAACCTAATCATATCTCCAAGGGCCCAAACCCGGCCCATAAAAATAAGGGTATATATAAGATGGGAGGAGCCGAAAAGATTCGAAGAGTTTCTTCATCGAAGAAGAAAGGGAAAAGATCGCAGACGAAACACGAGAAACTCAGGCACCGGAAGAAGATGGTGATGAAGAATCGAGCCGCAGAGGAGGAGGAGCCAGAAAAGAAGATCCGCCTGGAGCTTATGAATCTCGATAAGGAAAAGGTAGCTTTTAATCCTCTCTTTTGTTTTGTTTTTCTTGGAATCGCTTATTTCAGTTTGTAACTGGCTCACGTGTTTTTACAGATTTGGGGAGAATTCGAATCGGTGGAGATGAATCGAATCCTGAGCGGCGAAACTAAACCCAAGATCTTGATAACTACTTGTCAGCCTGTGGTTGCTCGTGAGTTAATTGCAGTGTTTCCGAATTCAGAACACCTTGATACTTCGACAAAGCCCGATGTACACGAGGTTAGTGTCAAAACTCAATACTGTTTGCAAATTCATGTATGTATTTGCATCAAAGAAACATGTTTGTTTAATAATCATCTGCACAGATGATAGAGTTTGCAAAGGACAAGGGTTTTACGGCACTCATTGTCACGGATACAGGCCGTCATGCAAAATCTTGCAGACAAGGTCTCTATTTTTTTTTATATATACATAAACTCGCTCCTCTCGTTCTTGAGAATGAGCTGTTATATATACATACATAAACTCGCTCCTCTAGTTCTTGAGAATGAGCTGTTGTCATGTGTTTGCAGCTGTAATATGTATCATGAGCTTGGTGAACGGGGCTGCTGCCTATTTCGAATTTAAAGATTTCCTACCACGGAATTTTGTGCCGGTATTAGCTTTTTTTCTTTTTCTTTTGTATGCATAAAATTTAAATGCTTACTGTGAGATTTGGTTAATACAATTGGTCTTTCAGTATGTTGTTGATCCCCCGTCGAGTTTGGATCCCTTCATTAATACTACGGGCTTTACATCTCCTTTGGATGTTGGTACTGAGAGGTAACACTAGTGCTTTCCTTGGCAAAATCTTGTATCTCACATTGCCCATTTTTATTCTTATCTGCTTTCTTTTACCTTTCAGATTGATACGATCTCTCTTCCCCCTGGTTCCTTCCCCTTCTGACCCCATGGTTACTTCAACTAATGAAAGGTGTACTGTGTCCTTCGTTAACTTTCCCAAAGATGATGCGATACATTTCATAAATAACATGTAATTTGCTTCACATTCTTAATTCTCTAGAATTGTTTTTTAAAAAAGAAAAATTGAACTTGTGTATCCCTTGTGTTCAGTTTCTACTGCAGTAGAGGCACTGACGGGAAATTAAGTTCTGTTCATACCTCGCAGGTCAGGGTCCTTTGCTCTTTGCTGACCTTGAGATATTTTTTTGGTTGCGGCTAAGTGTGCTTTTTTTTTCTCTCTCTCTCAATGTGTGTGTGTCTGTTGCAGGAGTGTGGACCTCAGTTCTCACTCAAGTTACTTGCTCTGGAGAAGATAACACCACGAGATTGAAATTAGTTTTAAGGTAATCACCGCAATTATCAGTTTTGGTGTATCTATATATATATTGGAAATATACAATGCATAAACGACATTGTTTTGATTAGTTTTTACTTTTTAGAAAGAAGAAAACAAAAATGAAACAATATTCTTTTGTTTGAATTCAAAATGATTAGTGTATATGATGGAGCTACATATATGTAACTTAAAAATCGAAAAAAAGAAAGAAAGGAAGCTATATGTGGCCTGTCGACACAAACACAAGTGTGCTAAACAAAGTTCTTCTCATCTTGACAAGAAGGAAAACTTGAAAGGAAAAAAAAAGATAGGAAAACAGATTTGTGCTATTTAGATAAATATTATTTGCCATTACTAAAGGTACTCGTGCTCGTAATACTATAAGATAAAACCCATTATATGATCAGAGACCATATATACTTGGAATGTTTAGTATCAGTGATGTTATTATATCACACCAATCGAATTCGGTCCACTACACAACAACCATTAAAACTGTAAGTAACTGCTACAAGCCTACAAACGAGTGAGATGGTAACCGCACACAGATTGTGTGAATTTATCTCCTAGATTTGAGAATGTTAGTTCCTACCGGTGAACCAATGAAATCAAAAGGACGACTTACTCAATAGTCCACCACAAGGAACCGTATACCAAACCCCAAGATCAAACACATTTAAATGATTTATTTAGGTTCCTCTAACCGGAACTTTTTTTATTGATGGGTTTCAAACAAAGGGAGCAAAACTATAAAATATATAAAAAAGAAGAATTCTGTTTGATAGGGGGAAGAAGAGAAATGCTCCTACTCAAATTCCGAATAAAACAAAAGAGAACAAAACTTCTACAGTTCATCCTTTGTTGCTGCTTCCTCAGTCTTAGTAGACTCTTCCCCATGAGAAGTTGCCGCCTTCTTCTCACTGTTCTTCTCTACGAAGTTTATGAAGTCCTCTTTTGTCCTGTCTCCTTCGTACACTACAACGTTTCCGCTCGCTGATCTGAAGTAAATGGTCGGGAAACCTTTCACATCGAAGGTATCACTTGGGATATCATTTGCAGTTGCGTCCTGTACACACACACACACACACGGAATCGGTTTAGTCACTCCAGTAGGACTATCAAGTGATTGATTATAACATTTAGACAATAAAATTAACTTACTAGCTTAGCTATGATCACACTTGGGTCGTTCTGGAATGACAAAGCCACTTCGTCCAAGATAGGAGCAAGTTTTTGGCAATGTCCACACCATGGTGCGTAGAATTCAATTAAAACTGATAGATATAAATTGGTGTTTATCAGTCTTGGTTTTGCACAAAAAAATTGAAAAGATTATTATAGTTTTCAAATATGTACTCACCATTCTTTCCAGACTTGAAAACTATGTCATCAAGGCTCTCAGCTACAACAACCTTCACTGGTTCGTTGTTCTCAGCTGGAATAGGTTGAGATTTTTTGTGTGCGGCAACCTTTCCGTCCTGAATAAGAAAACATGTTCTTTGTTTAAGTCATACTGATTTGATACGTATTTCTATTATATAAAGCTAGTGTGATAGTCTGCAAAAGAGAATGAAACCTTGAAGTCCTTGACCCATGATTCAATCTGGTCAACCTCTAGATTTGCTTTCAAATACTTCTTGCTATCAGGAGTTTGGATGATGATGAGGGGAACTTGGCTTTCTTCAAGTCCAAAGTACTGTTAAACAGATACATAAAAAGAAAAAAAGTATAAATTTAGAGATGTGTTAACATTGGCAGGAGAAAATGACTGGGAGAGACAAAGTTCAATGGTAACCTGGAAAGCGCCTTGGCTGCTCTCAGCGTCACCAAGAAGGAATGAAAGATCTTGACCTTTGTTGGATGTAGCAACTTCACGGTACTTTGATTTTAGAGATTCAGCTGTTGCTTCGGTGAAGTTAATGAACATCATTACCTGAATTTCAAAATATTACTATCCATCAGAACAAGAGTCATAGAAGACTGGCAACAAAAAAAACACAGAACAAAACAATTGCTTTCACTTAACTCATTTCAAAATATAAAAGGAAACCTCGACAATTATCAAGAGAATTATGATGCTATTAATCAAATTCAAGTAATGAGTTATGCTATCACAGCTTATGTCCATTCATGTGTTTCACTGCAATGAGAATCAAAATAACCTTACTAAGAATTACCTTAGTGGCAGGGCTTTCAAAGAATTTGGCAACATATGGGTGGTTGCTTGGATCACTGTCAAAGACGGTGACAAGTGGAATGCTGGATTCTTTGATGAATTTCTCTAGAGCTTCCCCATTGAAATCCTGAAGTCATGATTCGTCAATCAAATAAATAATCTGCAACGTTACTGCTCAATGCATGACTACTCATTGATGTGATGTACAAAATGAAAAAGTTTCTTTGTACCTTGGAATCAACAAAGAGTTCATCAAAAGGCTTAAATAGCCTCACGACAGGTCCTGCAACAGATGAATCTCCACGAGGAAGATGCTTGGCATCCAAAGTGTGTGCGAAATCATAGTCAGCACGCAATTTCTCAGCAAGGGCCATGAAAGAATCGAACTCCTCGCCGGATAATTTAGGGAACACACCAACCTAAGACAATAGAGATAGATAATTAGTGGCTGCAGTACGTGATGAACAAGTGGAAAAGAAACCAAGAAAAAGGATAGAACAAAGGCACTCACAGCAACAACATTCTTTTCACCCACAACCTCAGCTGCAACATCAGCTGACTTAATTTCAACAGAAGCAGGGCCACTTTGCTTCTTCAAATAAGTGACAATACCCTCGGCTTCACGAGGTCCGTTGTAATCTTGAATAGTTTTCCCTCCACTTCTCAGAATCTTGATAGTTGGGAAACCCTGAATCTTGTAGTCGTTTGCAATCCCTTTGTTTGCTTCCTGACTGGCATCAATCTTGGCAAGAGCTAGGGGAGGGCTATGACTGCTCAACTCTGATGCAGCCTTCTCATACTGTAAGCAATCACATATCACCCATGTTAGCCCATATTTTTATTTCAAAGGAAACAAAAAAAACTACACACAAATCCTAATCAAGTTAAATTTCTCACCTCAGGAGCAAGCTTCTGACAGTGACCACACCTGAAACAAAGCAAAACACATCAAGTTACTCAAATGAAACAAAGATACCGTAATTAAAAACATAGTTTATATACTCATCAATTTCAGACGAAAATAAATCAAAGCATCATCGTCTCAGATTATCCTAAACAAGCTTACATTCCAAGAGGGGAACACTTAAATCCACGTAGAGCAGATCGAAATCGATCAGCTAAACCATTAAAATCAACACTAAACAGTGCCCAAAATTCAGGAATTCACGACTATAGAGATCGATCTCACGATTAAGTTTGAAACACAAGAGAAAGAGAGAGAATATACCAAGGGGCGTAGAACTCGACGACGATGAAATCGTGCTTGTTGATGGTTTCGGTGAAGTTAGAGTGATCCAGAGTCAAGACGAACTCTTTCGCCTCTTCGCTTCTAATAGACGAAGCGAACAAAGACAACAAAAGGATCGAGAACCACGCCAAACCCTTAAACGCCATTATTATCGCTTCTCTGTACCAAAGTGACGAAGAATAGTCTTTTGTGTTTGTGTTGTGTGTCTTCTTCTTATCAGAGAGGAGGAGGATTGATTTATGCACTGATCCAGACAAGTTTTTATACCATCGCTAGCAACTATAGAAATTACGAAATCTTTAGATGCTTACTGGTTACAATTACACGTGGCGATTTTCTATTGGATTACACCTCGTCATTGGTTTTTTCTTTCTCATTAGCTTTTATTACTTTGGCAAGTAAAAGATTTTCATTTGACTCTTGACCACAACGGTTATTAAATATTTCAATATTTACTTCCATAATCACTGCCCAAATCACATAATTATTATTTAACATAAATTTAACTTTCTTTCTCATTATAATCCTGCTGAGTCAACCTCAAAATTAATGTGTTAGTATCTTTTTGGAAAATTTTACTGACCAAATTTAATATGGAGAGATTTGACTTTTACAATTTGCATCCAGGATTAATAATAACATTTTATAGATTATGTGCCTAACCATGATGTCTCTTCTTCTCGTTATGTCTATTATGGCTTCACAATGGCAACATATAGATAGCTTACTTATTAAAAATTAAGGAGTAAACTATTGTAATTTAAGACAAAAAAAAGTATCAATATAATAACCGATAAATTGGTAACTAACATTTCATGTCGACCATAACTACTATGTTCGAAAACGAAACATGTCAAACCTTGACATTTCTCTAGTTTATGCATTTTAACTTGTCAAAACACTAGCCATTAAAGATACTCTGTCATAGGCTGCCAAAAATTATAATTAAGAAAACTCTATTATTATAGTCTTATAGACATAGATCATGCCATGCCAAATTTTACTCTCTAAGCTATTCTACATAACTTCACCATGACACTAATAATAATATTTACCTTATTGTATCCTATATTTTCCTCAGTATTTATATTTATGTATTCTTGTAAATTGTAATCATTATCAGCCAGGATCGATTATGTGTAATTTTTTCTGATTCATCAAGATGGATGTCTTCTATAGATAATCTCAGTGTCGTCAACTAGTAACAATGTTAAACAGAGAAAACTAGATAATTTCTTCTTCTTCACCATTTAAAAGCGGCTTACAAAGCAAACTAACCAGTCAATAAATGAATATAAGCATATCTATAAAAGAGTTTTCCTATATGAATCTATATTGTATATCTAATTTGTAAGTAACAAAAACTTCAATACGGTGCAAAACGTGGTGAGTCCACACTCTCTCTACTCAAGAAGAAGTCTGAGGATGTTGTAGCCTAACAATTTCATGAGCTTTCACAACTTCTGCTGTGAATTTTCTCAATGCCCCAAAAATGGGAACTAAACCGTTTTTCAAGCTACTTGAAGACGCGTTGTTCACAACCTTAATGGTTTCTTTACGCTTACCTCTTTCCTCTACTAGCTTCTTCCTCATTGAATCTAAATCCACTTTCAGATCATCCAAAGCCGATATCCCGCTCTCTGACTTACCTCTCGAAACCAAACTTCTCTCTGACTCCGCATCTCGCTGCTCAAATTGCGCTTTTACCCTTTGCTCTTCTTCTTGCTGCTCCCGGAGCTCGTGTAGACTTGAAGCGAAACTTTGCATAGCTTTGGTCACATTATCTCCAGATATTCTACCCATTGTTTCTTGCCAATCTTTGCATATGATAAAGATGGGCGGTGCACCTATCTGGCTAGGAGAGAAAGGAGCGATTCCGTCCTCTGTTGCCACAGGTTCATAGTGAAGGCATTTCGAGAGCCATCCGCTTAAGGACTGGACGTAGGATTTCTGGGTGTTAACCCAGTTGTTGAAGCTGCTAGACCATTCTCTAAGCTCCATCTCAAGATCAAGAATTGCTTTTGAGCCAGAGTCTTTTTGTAAGGTTATGTTCGCCTTGAGAGATCGAACCTTGCTCTCCATGATTGCGTGGAACTGTTTCTGGTGGCACTTAAGCATCGATCTCCACATTCTTATCAATCTTCAAACACACAAAAATATCAGTTTTGTTTGACAGCTTCATTTTTTCATGGATATATCGAAATATAGAAAGATGATTTACCCGTGTATTAAATGTGTCAATTGTGGTTGCAACTCTTCATCTCTGAGTATGTGGATTCTGCTGGAAATTGAATCAACTGATCTTATACAAACATCGATTTTAGTCAGAAGCTTCCTAATGGCTGCCCGAGTAGCCTCTATCTTGATAGATTCAGCTCCATGACTATCCATTTTTTTCAGTCTCCTGCACTTCTCTTCATAAATGGCACGAAACTTTTCTTCGTCCTGCCATCAAACGCAAATCATGATGTCACAGCACGCAACAATCTATAAGTGACATAAAGTCAAATTAGAGATTCAGAAACACAAAGCTACATCATATATTCATATACAAAAGCATTAATACCTTAACTTCCTTGTACAATTTCTTTTCCCAGGCGTACAGTTTCTCCAAGGTTGATGAGAGGTTTCCATTGAAGCCTCCATTAACATCTTGTCCATTGTATGCTTTTGCCATTTTCCGTGTCCTAGATGTTAAACGTATCGATAGCCTGGGATGAGAATGCGATGACTGTGTGGATGGTGCTACCAGATACATGATCCTGGATAAGATAACTGCAAAGTAAAACATTTCATTCAAAACTTAACCAAACAAAGCAGCAAAAAATAAATCATCAAAAAAGCAGTGTGCACATTATCTACAGTTCATAGCCCACACAAAGAAAATCAGTCTAAACAACAATAGCAAGATGCTTTCCTCATTATATTTCAACATTTGGTTCATAATTCAGTAAATTCAGGAAAATCTAGCAGACAAGATAAAGTCCTATTCAGTCAAGATAACTTCCCATTAACTCAAAGTTTATATCAATCCCAGCAGCACACTAACAATTCATCAAATAACCATTAAACTAAAGTTAATCAGCATTACTTTGCAACTAAACTTAACAATGCAAAATTTGAACTCATGGTTGATTAGCACGAATCATAGCTTATTCTGAATCATGATTTCTAAATAAGGTTTGTATGCATATATAGATGATTGTAAAAAGGAAGGAGCTATCATCAAGGAGTATCAGAATATCAAACCAGCAAATCATATACTGAGTTAAAGACACGTTACCTTTAAAGCCGTTGTTTTTATGCTGATAAGGCAACTTGCCGACCTCAAGTAATACAGCAACCTCCTTCCCACACGAAGAAGCAACCTCGAACTCACTCTTGATCTCCTTCACAGTTTCTCTGAGATCCCTAGTGGCATGGATCGACAAACTGGATAAGCTACTTATCTTGGAAGATTCAACATCAAAAGAGGAAGAACTTGTTTCCTCCAACTCAAAGCTCACTCCTTTCTTCCTCCCATACTCCTCTCCTACTTCTCCGGGGCTCTTCCTCCCCATTAGCGTCTCATGACTGTTAGAACTGGTGCTGCTCTTTCCTTCACCACCATTAACATAATGAAACTCAGAGTCTACATCACTTCCTGAAAAAGATGACACAGTCTCTGAATCCAATGAGCTCTCAGTGGCTTTATCTGGCACTGGCACAGCCCTCATTGTTTCCTCACCAACAGAGCCTCTTTTGTTAATGTTCCTCTCAGGAACAGCGTTGTACTCGTCCTCGTCTCTGTGTTCTTTCACCTTCTCCAGTCCTGTTCTCTTAGGACGTCTGTACACTTGCTTGATCACTTCTTGCTCTGTTACTTCTTCCAGTTCAGGAATCCCTTCTCTTTCTCTAACTTCCTTCGAATCTGGACTGCTTGAGATTGACGCCATTCCCATCGGATAATATCCCGATGCACGAGAACGAGCGTTGCTGTAATCATAGGTATCAAATACATTCAGGAAATCCCAAGTTGAAACCGTAGGCGGTGACGGAGGAGGAGCCGGTGACGGCGATCTCCGCTGCACTCCATTGTTTCCGAATCCAGAATCCGACGGCCATTGTGCGTTCTCCACTCGATGATTCTCCGGCTGAAAAATGAACGGTCGTGATTGTGGCGCAGATTTCTTCATAAAATACATTCCTCGATTTGCGTTTGGATTGAAACTCGGGTAACCCGGTGAATATCCCGACGGATAACTCGGTTGATAACCAGGGATATAACCAGGCGGGTAACTTGGTGGATAACCGGGTGGGTAAACCGGTGGAGCATAGGTAGTTGGATCATAACCGGAATGAAATGTTTGAGTTGACCGTTCTTGTTCCGGGGTGCTTTCAATTTGGATATGATCGTTCGATCCAGCTTCTGATTCGGATTCGGATTCGGATCCGGAGCTTAGATGCAAATGCGAATCATCTTCTTCTTCGATGATGGAATGAGAAATGGAGGTGGTTGAAGAAGGAGAGATCCTCTGGTGCTTCTTCGGCTTGCCTTCGTCGGACGGTAACGTAAGAACAGGAGAATCCGGCGAAGAAGAAGAAGAAGAAGAACCAACTAATAAGCCTTCATCGTCAACGAAACGTTGAATAGCCTCGCCGACGTCGGAGAGAGACTGGAAGTAAGTTAAGTGAGCGACGGCGAGAGCAGAGCGATGATACGACGCCGCTTTAATCAGTTCCTTCCTCTCTCTGCAGAGAATCACAATCTGTTGATTATCTACTTTTGATCCTCCGCAACCCATAGCGTCTTCCTCGGAACTCTGGACTCTGTTTCAATTATCATTCTGCTTCCACTCCGATCGTCGTCGGACATGGAGCAACCATCGCTGGCCTCAGATTTAGTCAGAATAATACGGCGGCAAAATTGAATAGAAAAATCGTAAGAACAGAGCAAATTTTTTTTTTTTTTTTGGAAGAAACAGAGCAAAGTTTGTTTTTTGAAGAAACAGAACAGAGCAAATTATATAATATGAAGAAACCCTAAGTCGTAGTTTTAGTTATCATATAAAAACGAGATTTAATATGAAGTCTTTTTGCATGGGTGAGACAGAAGAGAAAAGAAGAAGAAGAAGACACAGTTGCTGATATATTTGAAAACGTGAAAACACGAATCGGAGAAGAGAAGGACACGGGGAAGAATACAAGAGAAGGAACAAAAAAAAGAGGTTTCAAAGTCGTCGTCGTGTTGCAATTAATTTTCAACTTTTTGGTAAATTTAATGGATAAAGATGTGCGAGGAAAGCTGGGGGATCTGGGCAAAATATTTATTGCAAATTGAATTGAGGAAGGACGAGAAGAAGAGAGTGGCAACGACGAGGAAATTAGTGTTCTTTAACGCACAAGAGCAAAAAAAACAAAACTTGTCTACAAAAATAGTCAAATCCTAAATCTACATGAGCTAATGTAAAAACAAATTGAATAATGTTAATGGCAAAATTTTAAATCCGGTTAAGTTTCGTACCATTTTGTATAAAACTTATAAAAACAAAATTTCAAAGCTATTTTGAAAACAAAACAAACGTTTTGTATATGAAATGAAAATTTTCTAACAGAATTTGCAGAATCTTTCATGTATGTCTTAGCGATGTGAGACAAACTGAATTAAGATATAATTACTGTACTGTTTTCTAATGTTTCGATTTTGCAAATTCTCGTTAAGGAAGTGTACGTACATATATATGGTGTTTTCCATTTTTTTCCGTTTAATGTTGTTTTCCTTTTTTTTCTTTGAATATTGATTGATTTTTTCCATTTTCCTTTGGTCGTATGTCGGTATGTGTCCGTCGTATGAGAAGTTTACTTCAAATCAAATGGTATCCGTTTCCTTTTATCGTTCACACGGAAATTTAGGTTTATTCTTAAAAAAATTTAAGGTTTATTCAGATGACATCAGAAGTATTTGTCAAGCTGAAATAAGAGTCAACAAACTGAACTATCTTCAGTAAGTCTCGTATTCATATCAAATCCCATCTCAATTTATATGTTTCCTTTTCAAGACAAATTATATACATACGTGATACGTCTCATAATCTCATTAGTTTTCTAAATTGTGTATAATGAGACGTGAGACATAATTGAGGCTATTGGGTGAAGAAGTAGATCATGTGCTGCCAAATCCACTTCACATGCACCTCCTTAATCACTATCCCTAAAGGGCCAAACTCCATTTTATATGTTTTTTTGTTGTTATCATCAAAATCATAAATAATGATTGTTGTTGTTTAGCAATGATGTCCTTTTTAACTCATTCATTTTAGTTCAACTTCCATTTTTAAATTAGGTCATAGGTTATATCTGTCTGGATCTATCTAAACTCTTACTTACTTTTACTACACTACCTGTTAAAACTGATCAACTGTCAGGTAAAAATTGAAGCTCATCTTCTCTAAACGAGTGAGACACAGAATATAACCGTATAAGAAGGTGGGTCATCGGTGTGTCTCTATTTTGATCATATTTTATCAATACGATCGAGAAAATATGATCTCATTCACAAGAAAAAGAAAAAATAAAAAAGGGTAAAAAGATTTTTAAAATCCATTGGGAAAAGGAGAATGAGTCTGACCAATTCCATCGGCTCATCGTAAGCTTCTTGCGTCACTAGTAAAGAAGAAGACACATCTTTTTTCCATATACCAACCAAATTCATACATCTTTCTAGATTCAGAATTTAATATTTAAAGTTGGTAGTTTTTTTCCCAACAACACCACTTTAAATAATCTAAATCTTTGAGAGAAGAAGAATATATCATATGGGAGCATAACTATGCACGTCTACGTCGCATGTGGTGTTGAAAAGTTTATCTGAATCCCTTCATTTGAAACAAGTACGATAGTTAACCTAATCCAAGAGAGAAGACTTTTCTTTTTTTAGTATCATAAGGAGAAAGAATCTTGAATGAATCTTGCAAAAGGTCTTAACACCCAAGCAACTATGCAAGCCTTATTTTAATGTTCGAAAAATATTCGTGCAAAGGCATAGCCGTAGTGATTCGGTACACACTTTATACTAGTATATAGTATTTGATCAAAAGCTCACACTGATCTCAAATCTAAAACCACTTATTAAAGGTGACTTTATCAAAGCATAACTATGCCAATGATGTTTGTTGCAAAGAGTATATGAACACCAAGTAATCAAAATATATCCATCTTTCAATTAGAAACCAGAGAAATCGGAGTTGTTATTACCACCACCAAAGAGAGTGGACAAAAGGACCAAAACGCCAATGGCAATTATGATGTTGAGGAAGTAATTCGTTGGTAGTGGCTTATCTGGGCTTCCTCCTATTGCTTCATACTCTGCTCTTATCTTCTTCTTCATTGAGTCCGAAAGCTCCTTCTGCATATATATTCCCCGGAAAAGTTAAAAACAAGTAAAGCGTATATATTACAATAAGCTACAAACACATTTGGGTTAAGTAGTAAGAACAAACCTTTTCATTGGAATACTTAGCAGCTACAAACTTCTCCGGAGCGTTGTCAATGATGATGCCCTGATTAGTATCGTAGGGACAGATTTAAGACTATATAGTTAAGTCACTGAACTGGATGTAAATGCATGGTTCATGTTCGCTAACATAAGATTAGAATTTCTCTCTCTTTGTTTATGTACCTCAGGAGGGTCAAATTTTGCCCCAATATTGCTGAGCTTGGCGTGAGCTTCAGCGTAATCCTTGAAAAATGCAGCCGGATCTTCAGCATACTTCTCTGCATAGTTCTGTAAATAGAAGTTGTTTTAAAACCTTAAGTAACAACGAACTACTACTATTTCTGCGGCATCTTATTACTCATCATTGTTTGCAAACCTTGAAAGAAGGATCTTCAAAAAGTGCAGCATCAGTGGGTAACACCAGAAGATCTTCGTCCCTCTTTTCTTTGATATCCTGCTATTCATAGAAGTCATTGATTAAGAAACTGGGGATCGTATTCACATATCTCATCTCCTTAGAAAAGTCTTCTTAAGTCCCAATCCAAAGTTACTAAGACAGATAGAGAGGTAGACCTTGAAGTAAGAGTTGTCAAACTTAAGCCATTTCACTGTCCATGACTGTCCTCCTGGTTCTCCTGGTCCAGTTTTCTGCCATGTTGAACGTTTCCATAACATCTCTACGCTATAATTGCAAGAACAATATAATGAAGTTTCATTTTGTCATTTATTATACCGTGTACTTTGTCTCAGGTTTTCCCCAACCGCTACGGTCTGGTCTGGCTCTTCCTAAAGTATGTGCACCAGACAAGGCAACTATTTCCTGCTTGATAAAACAACCAATGAGAATATTCACGTTGACAAGAATACAGAAAATGGAAAAAATTCAGAAGTCACCTTGTCATTCAGTCCCATCCTGTAAAATACATCTCTCAAATGATCAGCTGGTGAAGGAGGTCCAGCATCTAAACGTAAACATATTTCATCTCATTAGTTCAATAGTCCAAATGAAAATCTGAAACAAACTCATGGAAGCCGTGAAACAGACAATGGGAAGATTAGTTAACCAGGGAGTCTTCCTTCTTCTGGACACTGCTCAGGTGCTACGACATCAACTCTCCCATATTTCATCGGGATATCAGGACCACCAGCCTCCTGAAGTTAAAATCCAGAGTTATCAAAAAAGTTTGAAGGTCAACATAGTTTCCTTCCTGCTTGGCCAATCAAAGGAATAGAGAAGGAAGACCTCTACTGCAGTGGCACTAGCTAACTGGAATAAGTCGGCGTAAGAGATGTTAGGATACTTGTCTTTGATAGGTTGAATGAGCTTTAACGCACTAATGAGACCTGTAAATGTCAAAAGTAGAATATGAAGAGACAAAAAAAAAAGGTTTTAGAGCCACAGTGCATGTGAATTGTGATGGAAGCAGTACCAGCATTTGCAGCATGTTTAAGCTCAGGCTCAAATCTAAGACTTCCATTAGCTCCACCTCTCTGTGGCCACTCCTCAATGTTTTTGTTGTATGTACCAGCATCGTGCCACCCCAGTCTAACCTGCAATGAAACATGCAACTATTGTCAAGCACAATGCAAATTAGAAACACAAATTCAATTTTCTCTTCTCCAATATCTCTCGCTAGTAAAAAGCAAACAACAACAGACTAACAAAAAGTCACTTGAAACATGATCCAGCTGAAAACTCATCAAATAAAAAAAGATCAGAAGAGAGAAGGATACTTCACCAAAATGGGATGGCAAAAATTAGTCCGGAGGAGAACTTTGATGTCTTCTTTAGCGCTTTTCAATTGAGCTGCATCAGAAGCGGCACATTTTGGTGAGACCATCCCCTTGCTCCTCCCATAATTCGGATACTTTTTCTAACCAATCAAACAGAAGTTATAGGAAATTCAAAACAAAATTTCCAAAAAGTATGATTTCCGATCAAACTACGGTACCTGAACGAGGGAGGAATGAGGAAACAGAGAAGTAGATGCGACGCTTCGAAGAGAAGAGAGAGAATGTGGCGACGACGTAGAGGAAACGAGAGGAGCTGAGGTGGACGAAGAGGAGGAGGCGACGGCGGGGGAAAGAGAGACTCTGGTGGATGAACAGAGTAAGTGAGATGCGGCGGAGAGAGAAACAGCCATTATTGTCACGGCGGAGGAGAGAAACGCCGGGAAGAGTGAGTTTTAAAAAGACAGGTGTCAGTAACTTAGCGATACGTTGACAGTTGGATCTATTTGAAGTCACTCACTCTGAAACTGGATAATGATATATTATCACAAAGTGATCCTCACGCGCCCTAACATTTTTTTTTTTTTTTACTATTCCACTACCAAATAAAGAGAGAGCTAATAATAGTATTTCTAAAAATTTACAGATATTAGTAAAAAAAAAAACTATGTTTTTTTCTTTATTTTTATTTTACCTTTCATTGCAATATTATTAGTAGTGGAAAAATTGTGCAAAACTAGGAAAATAAGTAGCCTAAAAAAAAAACCATCAAAATTTCAAAAAGAAAATAAAAAACAATTACATTCAGATATATTTTGTGGAGTTAATGGACTGAGCATATATTGGGCCTTGTGCATTTAAGGATTCCTCGGCCTTTTAGTAAATCCTGGTTCGCGCGTGATCTACACGCCAAGGTGTAGCGAGCGTTAAGCGTTGAGCATTCCAGCCAAATGCCAAGTTTCTCAATTAAGCTTACGGGAACATAAGGAAACCTCCGTGCTGCTGCAAGTTGCAAGAAATTGAGTGAGAGAGAGAGAGAGAGAGAGAGAGAGAGAGAGAGAGAGAGAGAGAGAGATAAACAAAAATACTCACTCGCTCACTCCTATTAGGTAGCAGCAATACTTCGTCTAGAAAGAAAGCCTCCTTTTTGTGGTGTCCAAGAAGGAAACCTTTTTTGGGATTTGGTTTCGCTTTCTTGGGGCCAAAAGAAAAAGGAGATGAATCCGAATAAGGAGACAAGAAACCTTTACATCTTCTTCGTCTTCTTCTATGTGTTCGTCCTCCTCTTTGCTCGCTTTCCACTCTCTGAAGCTACCAAAGACCCGTCCGCTCAACAAGTGAAGTTACAGAATCGTCAACTTGGCTCCTCCGTCGTGTTTCCTGTCTCTGGGAATGTGTATCCTCTTGGGTAACTGCCTAATTTCACATCTTTTTGTTTATAATTTCTCAGTTTCTTGCTACTTTCTAGTTACTTATTTGTGAGTTTGATCTTTTTTTTTTTTTATGGGATTGCGTTGACTGATGTCTGGGTTTTGAATTGGTTCGGATTCTTTATGGCTTCTTCACTTGTAATCTATTTCAATGCTTGACAAGAGAACTTTAATGTGAAAATCTTCATTCTGTTGATTGTGATATGCCCTTGTATTGAAAACGCCTAATTTGATTGTTGATGTAATGATTTGGCTCATTTGAAGTACTCATTTTTCTTTTTCCCTTTTTGCAGGTACTATTATGTGTTGCTTAACATAGGGAACCCACCTAAGCTCTTTGACTTGGACATTGACACTGGCAGTGACCTCACTTGGGTTCAGTGTGATGCACCGTGCAACGGTTGCACAAAGGTAAGTGTTTATATGCTTTAGTGCGTGCCATGATAAGCAAAGGTCTTTTCTCTCTTAGAATTTCTTTATCTCTTTCTCTGCAGCCTCGTGCTAAGCAGTACAAGCCCAATCACAACACTTTGCCTTGTTCACACCTCTTGTGTTCTGGCCTCGACCTTCCCCAGGACAGACCTTGTGCTAACCCTGAGGATCAATGTGACTATGAAATCGGTTACTCCGATCATGCATCATCTATTGGTGCTCTTGTAACTGATGAGTTTCCTGTAAGACTCGCAAATGGCTCCACTATGAATCCCCATTTGACATTTGGGTTAGTTTTGTTCTTTTCCTTTTCACATACATAAGAATAGAATAAGAACTCTAAATTCATTGGACGTAAAAGTAGGTGATCTTGCTAGTGATCCTGATTCTTGAACCAATTTCTCTGTTAGATGTGGGTATGATCAGCAGAACCCTGGTCCACACCCTCCTCCTCCAACTGCGGGAATCCTTGGTCTTGGCAGAGGGAAAGTAAGCATCTCAACGCAGCTTAAATCCTTGGGGGTAACAAAGAATGTGATCGTGCATTGCTTAAGTCACAGTGGTAAAGGCTTTCTCTCTATTGGAGATGAGCTTGTTCCGACTTCTGGTGTTACATGGACTTCACTGGCTACTAATACACCTAGGTGAGCAATCTTTGAGCTTTATCTTCTCTTTTAACTGCCCCACGTATTCACTCACTCTTTAAATTGACAAGTTGAAAATTGTGGTGCAACTTTCTTGCTTTAGTAAAAACTACATGACTGGACCAGCTGAGCTTCTTTTTAACGACAAGACCACAGGTGTCAAAGGCATTAACTTAGTTTTCGATAGTGGAAGCTCGTACACTTACTTCAATGCCGAAGCATACCAAGCGATTCTGGATCTTGTAAGAAAAAAGTTATTTTCCGAAAAAGAAGCAGCAGTTGTGTTTTCCATTTGTATGACTAATTTGGTGTGCATATATCTCTTATAGATAAGAAAAGACTTGAATGGGAAGCTTTTGAAGGACACAAAAGAAGATAAAAGCCTACCTGTCTGTTGGAAAGGCAAGAAAGCTTTGAAATCAATTGATGAGGTCAAGAAATACTTCAAGAAGATTACTTTACGATTTGGGAATCAAAAGAATGGTCAGCTATTTGAGGTTCCACCTGAGTCTTATCTCATCATCACTGTGAGTCTCTTGTATGAATACTGACTATATATATGACTTGGATCTACATCAAAATCCATGGCTGAGAGTCTGTTTCTTATTTTTGTTTTCCTAGCAAAAAGGAAATGTATGTTTAGGTATCCTAAACGGAACTGAAGTCGGGCTAGACAGCTACAATATCATTGGAGGTAAGTATAATGAAACACTAAAGTTTTCGACCATAGTTTTTTTTTTCCCAGGGATTTTATGTTCATAACTTGACAACAAAATCTCATGGCTGTGTGTGAATTGTGATAGACATATTCTTCCAAGGGATATTGGTGATCTACGACAATGAGAAACAAAGGATTGGATGGATTCCTACAGACTGTGACAAGCTTCCCAAGTTCTGAACCTTTTTCTCTTACTTGTTTTTTTTTTTGGTTCTGTTTCACTAAATCTGTAATAAAATTCCTATTTTCTTCTTCTTTGTTGTTAAAAGAGTGAATCACGACTATGGAGGAGATTTATCGGAGGAGGCTTATCCAAGAGGCTTTGGTTTGATAACAGAGCTTTTCTCAGGAACCGAATCTTCTAAGAACAAGAACTTGGCCTCAGATGGAGAGCTTTGACACAGAGAAGAGTTTTTAATAAATAAAAACTGTAATAGAAGGTTTTTGGTTGTTATCATAGAAACAAGAAAAGATTTTGTAAATATATATACCCCTTGGGCCTTGTCTATGTCATCATCTAATAATAATCCAAAAGGAGAAGAAAAAAAAAAAAAGAAGCAAATCCTGAAGAGCAAAATGCATCAGAGTTTCAGAAATTTTCACCTGTGTGTGTTTTTTTTTGGTTCTTTAAGAAACTTATGATGTGACGACAAAAAAAAACGGAAGCCTTTTACCAAAATGTACCCAGCACAATCAGACTTTTTGAGGGTAAAAGTGGAATTACAGAGCGAATACAGTAGACAGTGGCGGAGGGAAGGAAACCTTAAAAACTAGAGAGCTTGGCGCCATCAGCGGAAGAGTGAAAAGACGGCTGGGCTGAGCGAGATTTTCTGAAGCAATTTTCTTCGCCCGGCGACGAAGATGACTGAGATAACTTCGGCAATGGACATTGACGTAGACGAAAATCAGCCTCGCAAGCCGATTAACATGGGCAAAGACATCGCCGGTTTGGGCGGTCCGCCGCCGATTAAGGCGACGCCTTGGGTTGAGAAGTACCGACCTCAGTCGCTGGATGACGTCGCTGCACATCGTGACATTATAGATACGAGTAACTGAACTTGATACACTTACTCTCTCCCTCTATTTCCATACCCTAGGGTTAGGGATTTAGTATATACTATTTGAAAACTTTTCTATATATTTTGTCAAATTAAGAAAGTATCTGAAAGCTATTTTGTTTCTACAAAGTGTATTAAACCAGTTTCTTTTCTCAGCTGGATTGATACACTAATTCATGTTAATAGCTTCTTATCTACTATTCTCACTGAAAGTTTTGTTATCTCTGTTTCTGTGGATTTGTTTTATTTTAAACAGTTGATAGGCTGACCAATGAGAACAAATTGCCCCATCTTCTGCTGTATGGTCCTCCCGGTACTGGCAAAACATCCACCATTCTAGCCGTCGCCCGGAAACTATATGGTCCCAAGTACCGTAGTATGATTCTTGAACTGAATGCATCGGATGACAGAGGAATTGATGTTGTAAGGCAGCAGATTCAAGATTTCGCTAGCACTCAGAGCTTCTCTTTGTGAGTATCCCTATCATGATTCCACCATGTGTTTTTGCTTTTCGTAGTTAATTTGTTTATCTTTATAATAAGCATTTAGTTACCTCAGCTGGCATGAGCTCTTTTTAACTGTAGCATCATGCTAAGTATAACAACTTATCTTTGTGTGTAACAAGTTTATTGTGGATATAAAAAAATTGAAATTCATGATTGTAGAGGAAAATCTTCGGTGAAGTTGGTTCTGCTAGATGAAGCAGATGCCATGACAAAAGATGCTCAGTTTGCTTTGCGTAGAGGTAATAACCTTATAGTCTTCCTATCTCTCGGTTATTTTTCTTGAACACAGTACTAACATCTTTGGCATACTTATTTTTCTTACATTTTGCAAGTGATTGAGAAATACACAAAGAGTACTAGGTTTGCGCTCATTGGAAACCATGTCAATAAGATCATTCCAGCTTTGCAGTCAAGATGTACTCGGTTTAGATTTGCCCCTCTTGATCCTGTTCATGTGAGTCAACGTCTTAAACATGTAATAGACGCTGAAGGGTGAGAATTAAGCTATTTCGGTCTTGTAAACTATCTTATTGTATGTTTTCTCTTTGTTTTGTTTTTCTTCACCCCTTGTTCTTCCTTTTTGTAATTGGACTAGGCTTAATGTTAGCGAGAATGGTTTGGCAGCTCTTGTACGGCTGAGCAATGGGGACATGAGAAAAGCACTGAATATTTTGCAGGTTCTGGAATCTTTCCTTTTGGTCCTGTCTCCTTATTAACAATTGTAAATCTACAGAAGATAATACATTTTAATCACTATGAATGGATTTGTAAAAGCATCTAATGGGTTTATTGGTGTGGGCAGTCAACTCATATGGCGTCAAAGCAACTTACAGAGGAAGAGAAAAAAGAATCGACCATTTTGCAGGTTATTGGAATATTTCCTTTTGGTTCTGTCTCCTTATCTACAAAGATAATACATTTAAATCACTATGAATGGATCTGTAAAAGTTCATAACGGGTTTATTGGTGTGGGCAGTCAACTCATTCGATGTCAGAGGAAATTACAGCAGAAGCGGTTTACCTCTGCACTGGAAACCCATTGCCCAAAGACATTGAGCATATATGTGACTGGCTTCTGAATAAATCGTTTGCTGAGAGCTACAAAAGTATTGAACCATAACTGATATTTACTAAAGTTAATGATTTCATGTTATTGACTCATGATTTTTACTTCATTGTGCAGAAATATCAGAAATAAAGACGAGAAAAGGACTTGCCATTGTTGATATTGTCAGAGAGGTTACCATGTGAGTGACATACTTTATTGCTGCTTCAACTGCTATGTTATCCGTGCCATGCATCTGTGAACTAACTTTTGTTTCTCCATCAGGTTTGTTTTTAAGATCAAGATGCCTTCAGACGTCAGAGTTCAACTGATAAACGATCTGGCAGACATTGAGTTAGTATTTTTTGCGTTTTAAACTTGGAAGAGTGTTTAATTCTGATTGCCTGGAGTAGAGTATTTAAGATTGTGTTCCCCCACGATCGTTTTTTAAAATTTAGAGTCGTTTTACTGTTTATAGGTACAGGTTGAGTTTTGGGTGCAACGACAAACTGCAGCTTGGAGCTATCATTTCTACTTTCACACATGCCCGGTCTGTCTTGGTTGGTGCAGCAAAATAAACCATGTTTTTTTCACCGTTTTGGAATCTGCAGTAGCTTATATGCACTGCCTTAAGTAACTGCTAGGAAATTTCATCTCAGTGATGTTTTCCTGATAGTCTTTGTACATTTTAAGGCTTTTGCCTTTCAATCACCAACAAAGATTTTTAGACCCACCTTGTTATCTTCTCGTCTCATTGCATTGCAAGATTGCTCAAATGTTTCATTGCTCTTCTTCATTGTTCTGATATCGGTTACTCGTATGGACGTATCTAACTATCTAAAAATGAGCCCAGACAAAAATTGTGGTAAAATAACTTAAAAGATCGCTACAGGAATCAGAGCACTTTGTGCTGCTTAGTTGATCCCCGAGCGAATAAGTTTTATGAACAAATTGTCATTACAGAACATCACGGACCAAAAAAGAAGAGAAACAACCTATACAAAAAGACTTTCTTTCTTGCTAGGTAGGAACTCTTTGATTCTACGTTCCTTTTTCACACATCATACCCATTACCCATATACATGTATTGCTATACATCTCCTGCAGACTTTTCTCTCCCTCTTTAACTACCAAAATCCAGCCATCAACAGCATTAGACAGTTTATGTCTTCCATTGACCGAGTGCATTTTGCTTGTGGAGATTGAGTAGTTTGGTTTTCTTAGTGAGTCTCATCCGTTGTCCTATTGGACCATGCAATCTCAATGTCAAGTGATCTAGAAGAAGCATCTTTGCTGTTTTCATGATTCAGGCATAGAGATCCACTGTACTCTCCTTCTGTTACGACTTTGTCGATTTGGATAGTAACACGGCCTAGAGTCGTCTGCGGACAAGGAATGTGTTAAGTGTTAGACAAACACCAATTAAGATAATATATATTGAATATCTCTATCAAATCCCAACTCTGCAATTTGAACAGTGTGGCTTATTGTTACAATGTTACCTTTCCAAATGTGCTTTTGCTCCTGCATATGATGTGAAGCTTTTGTCCTTTGGGGGGAACATCAAATGCCCAAGTGAAACCTTCTTTCCATTCAGGAGTAGTGCTATTGCTAACGACCTACAGAAAAAGAGATAAAAACCCATGATACAAGAATTTTTTATAGCAATGGTTGGAGTGCGAATATTCTCCTGGGATGGATTTGTTTTACCTTAGTTTGCCGTGGAGGGCAGTTTCCTATTGTTAATTGACAAAACGCGTTTGTGGTAGCCATGGACTGCTTTAAGTTATTGGCACGCATGACGTTCACTGTTAAGCAACCTGGTAAGCAGTGCAATAAGCTGTCTGCCTTGTCGTGGAACCTAGGAGGGCATGTTTTCATCAGCATTTGCAGGACGGGAATTGCTTCAGCTGCAATCATGGCTTGAGACTTCGCAACATCTATAGACATATTCGTCCAGGAGTGTCTTAGCAAGTAAAGAATATCCAATACTAATCCCTGGACGTCTTCAACACCAGATTTGAGCGCCCCTACCAAATGAGGGATGCAGAAAGTAGCAGCTTCTGAGGCACGGAGTTTAGGAAAATTGGAGAAAATGACATTTAAGGTTCTCAAAACTTCGGTATTTATAGTTGATGTAGACCACAAGCCTCTCTCAAGTGCAGCTGTTCACAACCATGATATGTCAAACAGTTGAAGATAAGAAGAAACATTTTTATCAGAATATAAAAAGTGTGGAGCAACGGGACTGAGGACCATCAGTTCAGTGTTAGAGTGACAAGCATAGGATTAGTATAACTTAAATTGAAAAAGTACCTGTTAGTGATCTTATAAGCTCATTCGAGACATATTCTTGGAGTGTGTGGTTGGAAAACAAAAATTTGACCATCAGTGCAGCCTGCCCAGAAACTTCTGCATTGCAAGAAAGCAGTAGCTCCTGAATTAACAATACGCCACCAGCCTCTGCAACAGCTCGTCTATTCGTTCTACTATTCATCACAAAATTCTGCAACGCACAGATGGCCACCACTTTCATTTCTTCTGTTGGTTGTTCTTCTAGCACGCTAATGAGTGCCCGACAAGCGGAAACAGAACCACTGGATCTAGAAAGCCCTTCATGCTGAGAAAGATCCCCAAGTGCCAGAGCAGCAAGAAGCCTACCAGGTTCTGATCTAGTCTGAGGGTCCAACAGATATTGAGATAGTGGTGCTATTGCATACTTGCATAACTTCAACTCTCTTACTCTTGGGTTGTTAAATAGTACTTCAAGTAAGCTTCCCGATTCTTCCTCGCATTGATGAGATCTCAGGAGATCCAGCAATGCATCGATTGCACCAAGCTCAGCCATTTGTACTGTGCTTGAAGCATCGTTCTTCTCATGAAGCATCAATGCTTTAAGAGCCAGTAAAACTGTGCTTTCAATTGTTGAGAACAATAATTTAACCAACACTGGCAGTTCAACTCTGAAAAAGCATTCTGCATCATTCTGCAGAATGTTGGAAAGAACAAAAGCAGCAGACTCCCATAAATCAAGAGGGGGCTGAGGATCTTCCTGGAGAATAACCTTGGATAGCTCAAAAATACCTCCAGCATCAAGAACAGCCTTAGGCCAGGTAGCAGATATCTTCTCCAATGCCTTTATCGCAGTTTCCTGCAGGCTCAATATTCCAATTCCTGCAAGCCGGACAAGAGGAACAACAGCACTCTGTGTTGTGATATCTTGCTGGAAATCTTCCATTGTAAGAAAGTGGCTCAGCAGTTCCGCTCCAAGCTGCTGAATAGCTTGGGATGAAGATTCTAAAAAGGAAATCAGAGGCACGATTGCTTCACTGGGTGTAAAACTAAAAGCTTCAAGGGTTTGCTGTTTTTCCAATATGTTTACAAGTGCTTGCAGGGCACTATGTTGCCCCCATAAGGTCAAGTCTGACCGGAGCAAGACCATAAATAGAGGCTCTACAGTTTTTGTAACATCTGGTCTTCTCGCGATTACTCCACTATTTGTTAAAATGCGAAACAGCTCTGCAATAGAGGAACATAACGAACTTGAGGCTCCAGGTAGTAACTCGAGACATCGCTCAATTATTCCAGCTTCCACCATGTCCAACTTGCGTGGTACTCTGTCTTTCCCCAGCTTAATGAGAGCTGATAAGCTAGCCTCAATAATCCTGTAATTTCTTCCGGAAACCAAACCAACAAGAAGCTCCTGAATGTTATGTGCGGCTGCTAGTTCTAAATGTTGCTCGTCATCCAATAATATCTTAATAGCACATACTGCTGCTTCAACTGCTGCGCTTCTTTCAGACTGCATAAGTGTTATTAAAGGCTCCATGCATCCGGAGGCGGATGGACTTGTTCTGATGTTTTTATTTGAGAAAACAACAGAACAAAGTCTGGCAGCATTTATCTTTAACTCCTCTGAAGCAGAAGTAGAGGATAAGATTTTGATCACGTTTTCCAGCAGACTTCCTTCCACATCAATCAGAAAGGCTGTATTTGGAGTATTTCCTGAGCTTAGTTTGATCAATGCAGAGAGAGCTACTTCTTGCTCACTTTCTGATACAGTACCGAGTATGTCCATTAGTGGCTGAATAGCCTGGCAGGCGACTTCAGAATTTCTGATGTTTTCAGCTTCAAAAAGTTCATTGAGTGCCCCAGCTGCGCTGTATCTTGCACTTCTCGAACCTAGCCGCAGTACTGCAATAAGCTGGTTCAAGGAACTTAGTGCCATTTCGTTTTGTCTAAGCTCGTGGTTGCTAAATAATACCCTAAGCAATTCAGATATGGCATACTCAGTTGAATCTTGAGGACTTAAAGAAAGGTACTTGGTTAAAGCTTCAACAGCTCCAACTTCTGCCATAAGTAATTTATTTGTGTCACTTCCATCAACAATGCGAATCAAGATTTGGACAGCAAACTGAGGGGCTCCAGGCCTATCTGGAATTGGCCTTAAGAGATCTACAAGTAGCGGGATAGATTTGCGTGCAGTGGAGCCAAGCCTCACATCTTCAATTTCAAAAAGGTGTTGAAGAATGACTTGATCAGGCTCTTGCACCAAAGAAAATTCATTTGCCAGTGAAACCAAGTTCAGTATCTCTGATTCCACATAGCCAAGAAGGTTTATTATCCCAGAAACAGCACCTGAGTTTGCAATTGTCAGATTTATTCCTCTGTTCCTAGTACAAACAAGACTAGCCATTGCGTGGGCAGCAAAATACCGATCTATCAGTTCATCAGATCCTAGTAAAAGTGCAAGTGTTGGAATGATCCGCATTGTCGTTGAAGAAAAGGACACATTTTCATCCTGGAACATGATAGCCAGGAGGAGCGCACTAATCCAAATGCCTTCTGTATCCTCAAATTCAGCCTGGTAAAACAGTTTAACTCAAGATTATTTTCAAGGGGAAAATTCATACAAGGCATCACGCCAAACCAAAAAAATGCAGAATTCATGCTTGAGCCAAAATGCACAAGGCAGAAGTGAGAGCAGCGTGATTCAAAACCAAAAATGCAGGATTCATGCTTGACAAGTGAGATTTCTGTAACAGAAGGTCCTTAAGGCCAAAACACGGCCCCGCAAAATTGTATAACTCAACTCAGAAGTTGGCTAATTTCTTTAATCCCAATGAAGGTACCCTGTAGGATAGATACCCATGACCAATAAACATGAGGAAGCAAATAATTGAAAAAGAAACCTTTACCTGCGGACTGGAAGTATACCTAACAAGCTTCCCCAAGAGCACCTCAAGTCCGCCGGCTTCCATAACAATGACCTTTGACTTAGCATCAACAGAAGTGAGTATGCATAGCAGCCACAATGCGACTGTACCACCCAAGATTTTAGCTGGATCAGGAAAATAGAAACTACCTGTATCCTGGAATACATTTTTTTCCAAAAAACCTTTAGGTGTCTGGACTTCAGTTTCTAGAGAAAAGCATGTCGATTTGTGCTTTATCATATCAACTAGGGCATGTAACAAGAGTTTTAAAAAGCCAGACTGATCAAGTGTCTCCGTAATCAGCTGCTTCTTTTCCTTTGCAGCACATAAGAGCAACGCTGCTGCCCCAACTCTCACTTCTAAGCTGGATGCATTCACTATTTTATCAGCCAGCACACCCACTGACTTGGGTCTCGAAACTATCAGTTCACTGAGCAAAATCTGTTGATCAGAGCAGAGCCTGGACAAAATTTCAATTGCTTTATCTTGCACAAGAGTATGGCCTTCGGTAAGGCATTGCACAAG